TAATTATTTTTTGTTGATCATTTAAATATGAACCTCAGAAAAATCCAATCGGCTTCGTACTAAATCTTTTTTCTCAACTTCGATGTGTGCTATTCATACCGTACTAAAATAAATATACAATGCATGTTGTTTCCATTGAGTTCACCCACATTCACAGTTCAGTATACAGTGCCGAGGTTAGATTTCTATCTATCAATTGGTCTTAATACCAAACTGTCATCCGAATGCGTTACGACAGAACCAACATCGAATTCGATATCGATGCGCTTAAAGTGGCAAGAAGTTTTGTATGGAAATTGAACATCGAACAGCGCCACAACGGACGTGACGAGAATTATAATGCGATTCAACTAAGAATAGGACCGACTGGGCGCCATATTGTGATGTCATAGCTGTCAAATAGGTAGAGTGAGCAAAAACAAGTTTTTATTCAATAAAACTTATTTACTTAGATTAAGTGAGAAAAAGCATCAGATTTTTTTAATAACATATATTTACTAAGAATGAGAAAAGAAAAAACCCATTTTTAATAATATTTATTTATTAAGACTGTGAGAAAAAACATTAATCAGCATCTAGCTCTTCTATTCCGCTATCTCTGCATTACCGCCGGAGTAGTTATGAATAATCATGCACTATTACTAGGTCACTTACGAACATGCATCCTTTAGTAAACGAAAGTTTGAAATCGAGTTTCTGAACGCAACTTAAAGTGAGATTGATTTTGGTTATCAACCATTCATGGCCAAAGCTCAATAAGAGAAAAACATATCAACCGATATTAATTATCAATATTTGTTATTGTTTGTTTACAAATGTTTGGTTTTTATTCTTGAATTAGCGGAGTGCTAAAAAAGGGTTCCAAGTTTTTTTTTTCAAACCATACTTTTCAAGCGACATTTGACAGATAGAGGTCATTGGTTTTCCTATTCTTATTTAAATCGCATTAAAATTTCTTCTTCCATCTCTCTATATCTCTATTCTTCCATTCAAAACTTCTCTACATTTGACGCATATCGAAATCAAATTGACCTCTTATTCGAATTCGATAACGGTTCGTGCTAAGAGTATTGATTACATGAACATTTAATTTTTTTTAGAATACGTCTGCTTGTTATACTATTATAAAGCAACCACCACCACAACCGCTAATGCCATCATACTAGGTAATGCAAATTCCATAATTGTACTGAATATGTAATCTAGTTACAGCTAATCTTCGAAGGACTGAATTTGATTGAAACACTTATATGATTAACGTACGTGCATAACGCCATAAATATAACATGATTACTCGAATTGAGATAGTTTGCACACGACGCAAGACTTATTACTTAAGGCAGCTCGATGGCGCTGATGGTTAGCACGTTCCGCTTGCGATCGTGGAAGTTAAGCAACTTTCGCGATGATCGGTCGTTGGATGGGTGACCAAAAACTTATTATCTCAAGCTCGTCCTTGCTTTCGAAGGTACGTGAAGTCGTCGATCCCAGCTGCATCAGCAGTCGTTAGCACCTACCAATCCGTTCAAGTAAATGACTATTTACGCGTAAGCAGTGTTAACAGTTTATTATATTTTATTGTTATTTTAATCATTAACTTGATAGATTAATAAATCTTAAGATATTTATTAGTAGAACAAAATCCACTCACACCCGGTACCAGATAAGATAAATAATATTGTAGTCCTTAATGGGCTTTTATTATCTACTGTGAAACCTGAAAAAAGCGGTCAAGTGCGAGTCAGACTCGCCCATGAAGGGTTCCGTAGCAGCAAGTAACATAATATAAAACCTGCCCCCCTTGCGCTCTGCACCCACTACCGATCAATTATATTATAATTATTATTTACGTAGGCACCTATTACAGATTTATTATTAGAAAATAATGGTTCACGGTTAATGCATAACGTTTATGTTTATGAAATTAAATCATTTTTTTATATATTTGAGTTGATTGCATTGAATTCAAAAGTAAATAGCGGTTTACAATTTATGACGTATTAAAAAAAATTACTTACTAGAATTTTTTTAATGGTCTTAATGGTCAGTGCAATGCTTAAAAAATAAAAAAAAACATTACTACTTACTAGATCTTGTTCAAACCAATTTTCGGTGGAAGTTTGCATGGTAATGTACATCATATATTTTTTAGTGTTAACATTCTCTTATTTTAGAAGTTACAGTAGGGTGTGGGGTGGGGGGGGGGCACAAATTTTACCACTTTGGAAGTGTCTTTCGCGGAAACTATTCAGTTTAGAAAAAAAAGTGGCTGTGATATACGGACGGACAGACGGACGGACATGACGAATCTATAAGGGTTCCGTTTTTTGCCATTTCGCTACAGAACCCTAAAAACGAACGTAGCTCGAATATTCCATTCTTTTTCAATGTAAAAAGGAAGACTAAAATGCTACGATTGCTATAGACTCTGATGAAACCTAAGATGATACTGAAAAACGGACCATAAGCAATCCCATGAGGCTTTGCCCTTTCTCTGGGTTCTCTACAATGCGAAGAGATGGCACTGCCTTGCAGCCTAAGAAATACTAGAGAAAATTCGACTCAGCCATCAGGGCCACGGTAGCATAATGGTCAGTGCAAACGCCTGAATAGCGAAGTGTGCGGGTTCGAGTTCAATCTGCTGCTGTAAAAAATCTTTAGACTTAAACGTCTAGCAGTTAGATGCTTAAACAATAAAAATATGATATTGAACTTATTATCATTGATCTTTTATTTATAACAATTACTAATTATTATATTAATTATGCTTAATTTTTCTTAATCTGTAGTTAAGCAATTTTTTATTGTTCATAATCGCAGTTCCACCTCATAACTTTTTAAAAAGGTTAATTATATTTTATGTTAATCTTAATGTTAAAAGTTATATCAGAGACTTATAATTTTCGTCTCTCATTGATTACAAAACAAAGTAGAAGAGTATTTAAAATTTAAATATTCATTAATGTGTAAGTTTTTATTACGTGCTGAGTGCTTTATTATAACACTTTAATCACCACAAACTGGTATAATTGTTATCTAACATAATTTTAAGCTATATTTGTTTCCTATTAACTTTAATATGATCGTAAAATATTATCCCAAGTGATACTTCAGTATAAACATGTATGTATCTTAAAGTGTTTGTGTTGCATTTGGGTCATGTATTTGTCTATTTTGATTGTTTATGGTGGAACTCTCAGTATATAAGAACTTAAAAACTACAAAAAACGCATTAATACATTCTGAGAAAAAAATATGTATAATTAATACTGTGACAGTGCAGGAAACATTTCTAACATTAAGTTTGGATATTAAGTGGCTGGATATTAAAATATTTATCTTGTAAGAATGAAAGCTGCTATTACCAAATCAAAACGTAAGGTCACTTATGGCATATTTAAGACAAGACTCAACGACCTACGTAATTATGGTCTTTAATTGGGAATTAGTTGCGAAACACTTTGACCAAGTATTAATATTCATTAAACAACAGATTGTAACAAACAGTTAGCCCTTTAGACTCAAGGAAATTTTATTAGACTTGATTAATGACAATTTCCGCCCATTTGAAGGTTGGGGACAAGACACACTTAGGGCAACTAATGACACTTCATTATCAAAAGCGTTTATAGTACTTACTACTTTCTTACATAATAATGTCATGTCCTATTCTAAAATATTTTAGTGAATTGCGGTATAGGTATTTCCTTTGAAACCTTGGGTGGGTCTCACTATTCCCGATAAGCTTTCCTATTGACGGTAATTGTGATACTACTTGTATCACTATTCCCGTTGAGTTTTTATACTGCGACTATTTGCGATCAGGAGGACGCTTGTTTATTTCAGTAATTCTCGACTAGATGTTTTACACTACACATTTGAGTTATTGATTCTTGATTTACGAAACATTTTATTTTATATAAAATGAAATATGGAAAATGTGTGATTGTATGTATTCAAAACAGCAGCCAAACAAACTGCGTAAAATGTTATTGGAAATACCGTTACAAAAGTTCGAATAATTATGGTTTGCCATTATAAATACAATTATAAATATATTCAAATAATTTTATTGTTACCATAAAAAGTCTACGATCGATGCGTATTTTTTTACAGTAGGTCTGATATTTTTATTTCACTTACAAATGGGAATATTGGGACATTCTGCAGAAGAACATTAGTCTCACTAATTACCATTTGAGGTTTCGTAATTCAATGAGAATAGTGAGACTGATTTGAAAAAAAGTGCGGTCTCAGTATTGCCACTGCAATTGATAATGGGAATAGTAAGACCCACCTGAAACTTTTATTTACTCGAGCGTTTCGAAAATTTTGTTCCATACTCTTTATATTAAAATGTTTACAGCCTAAGTTTGTTGTGTCTGCTCCATCGACCGTGGATAGAAATATTAATCAGTATACAGGTAATAATATAACACTATCATCTTGCTGATGACAGATATTAATAGGGTTTCTTTTTCGGGATCTAATAGTAACAGTGGAATAGCCAGGAAATTTAATGTTATCCTTTGCTCCATATTGGAGGCAGAAGCTTTTCGGAGTTACATTTATCTTGCGAAATTTTCTTATACGTCCCAAAAATGTTGGTCTACTCTGCAATCAGTAGCAGTATTAATTAGTATACAAGTAATAATATAACAATATCATCAGCAAATATTGACAGGGTTTCTTTTTCGGGATCTAATAGTAACAGAGGTTTAACTGGGACGTGTAATGTTATCCTTTGCTCCATATTGAAGGCAAAAGCTTTCCGGTGTTACATTTACCCCGCGAAATGTTCTTATAAGTCCCGAAATTGTTGGTTTACCTTGCAAAACCCCAGAAAATCACTAATCATACCAATCATGATGATCATACATTATGAAATTCAAATACAAGTTCTTTCCAACTCAAATTATTTATAGACATAAGTATTTTTAAGTACAAAAAACCGATGTTCAATGAAGATTTAGTTTTTTTGACTATTCTTATAATTCCAGGTATACCCGCCACTCTGAACTATATTCCACTTGATGGAGCATACGCACCTTCTCCGAAACTGAACCCCTACCCGAGCTGGCAAGGCAACGAGTTGGGAAACTGCGAGACTGGGCTCACAACAGTCTACAGGATCAAAGCTGACAAGTGCGATCGACTCTGGGTGTTAGACGTCGGGACTTATGGATACGGTAAAATTCATTTTGAACTGTGTATTCCTTCAACTCTTGTGTAAAATATTTTTATTATTCTTTAACATAAAATTATTATTTTAGTTTAGTCCTTTTATAATGCTTATCAATAGTTATGTTTTTCATAATCGTTTTGTGATTTACTGTATTGTAAAATATGTACTTAGTACCTACCTATATTGCCATCAAACCACGAATCCTAACAATCCAGAAATGTGCCGTCTTTACGTGACTTACCATTATGTTTGTCTTTTAATATTATAATACGAATAGAAGCTACTTCTCGTATAATAATAAAAAATGAAAATCACAATACGAGTAGGTACTCGCGTCATTAAACCATCACCATTAAAAGCCATCATACAAATACTACTAAATAGTCTGTATTTTCTTCATAAAATATAATTATAGTGTATGAGAGTGCTTTAAATAATTATAAAATGTGTTTTTTTCAGATCCCAACGTCACTAATCTCTGTCCTTATACGCTGAACATTTATGACCTGAACACTGATCAACGCATCCGAAGATACGTCTTCCGTCCTGAAGATATTGTACCCTCAACCTTCATTGCCAATATTGCTGTAGATATGGGATCTAGTTGCGATGACACATTCGCTTACTTTTCTGACGAACTTGGATACGGTCTTATTGCTTACTCTTTGGAACAAAATAAGTCTTGGAGATTCAGCCACAGCTACTTCATGCCGGACCCTCTTGTAGGAGATTTCAATATTGCAGGTCTCAACTTCCAATGGGGAGCCGAAGGAATATTCGGTATAACTCTTTCCCCGATGGGCGCAGATGGATACAGGACTCTTTATTTCACTCCGTTATCAAGTCATACGGAATTCGCTGTATCTACCAAAATCTTGAGAGATGAAACAAAAGTATCAGGGTCTTATAAAGACTTCAAAGTGGTCGGCGTTCGTGGAGCTGATAGTCATACTACATCGAAAGTGATGGACGAATCTGGCGTACAACTATTCAATCTGATAGACCAAAATGCTATCGGATGTTGGAGTAACGCGATGCCATACAAACCTCAGAATATCGGTGTTATAGACAAGGATGACGTAGGTTTCGTTTTCCCTTGTGATATCAAAATCGATGACGATAAAAACGTTTGGATGATTTCTGATAGAATGCCCGTTTTCCTTGAAGCGGAATTGGACTACAGCGATATAAACTTTAGAATTTATACCGCAACGTTAGACAATCTGGTTCAGGGAACTGTATGTGAACCGCCGAGGCGAATTGTACCTACAACTAAAGCAGTGAGCTTTAAAACAAACTCAGCATTAACATCGTATACTCCGTCGCTTACTACTGTAACGATGTCGCCATTCCTTGCACAAGTGTACACCCCCAGCGTACTGTCGCGGTCTAAAATCGGTTCGACTTACCCGCAAGTAATACAAAATGATATTTCTAAAGCAACTAGCTACATGAGTGTTACTTACCCGAAACAAACTTCGGTACCCTATTACACGCAGAGAACTGAACATGAAACCACACCTAGAGATTTTTGGTGGTACAAGGACTACGATTTTAAAAGACATTAGAACTGTCCAACTATTATAAAGTAATGTGGACTATGAAAATATATTTTTACTTCAAATACCATAAAAAAATAGCCAATTAGCCTTACTCTCATAACTATAAATTGTAATATGTGAATGTGTGTGCTTTTAGGAGTGTGATTGTTTGGTACTTGAAAAAAAGTAATAATTATTGAATTAATTTTCATATTTTTGTACTGTTTGATGGTTTCAGTAAATGATGTTTGTGATAAACAACTGAACACCTTAGTTACCATTTTCAAAGTGTTTTTAGCTATGTTGAGGCATTATTAAGGCAATGATATATTATATCTATGTCTATTTCATCTTTGAGATGCACTTGATGAGTACTTTAGCTGTGTGTATTAATAATGTAACAATTTGTGATGTGATGTGTGTGACTGAAAGAAAACAACTTTGACTATGTGAGTAGTGTATATGGATGTGCGTGTTTTAATTAGGTTTGTTTATTTCATTCTTAGTGAGTTCTCAATCCAAGTATCTGGCTCAAACTTCATTCTTTTTGATGAGACCTTAAATATGACATATGGTGTAAATAAGACTTTTAATTCCTTTTTCTTGTAATTTCGATGTTAAACTACACTATCATTGTACAAAGTTATCGTTTCTTTTTTATTATGAATTTTATGTAATTCTGTTTTATGTTCCACAAATTTCTTATTTATTAAACTTTTGTAAAACCTAACTGTTTTTTTAACTACCCTTTTTTTTGCAAGGTCTTTAAATCTATCATAAGTATACACCATGAATTTTCAGTTACATGAGAAAGTTAAAAATCGTGTAAATAAAAACAGTGCAAACAGTTATAAACAATCTCATACAAAGATATTAATTTGTATCGCTTACAAATTTTCCTAAAACAACGCATTTTTGTTTAAAACATACCTCGTATACAATTATTATCCGTTTAAAGTACGTAGATCCTGAAAGTAGTTTAATTCGAATCAAATTTTGACAATTAAAATGGTTAAGGTTATATAATTGCACAATTATTGAGTTAACGTGGAGACATTTTCTGCAAAAAATAATCAAAAATGAATGATGCGAAAAAAGAACGTAAATCGTTGTCTGACTGAATTAGGTAGTAAAGTTTCTCAGTTAACTCAATATTCACGATCTATAAGGAACCAATACAAATACCTACTCGACAGAACACATAAGAAATTAATTCAAATATTGTAATAAATATAAGTTTACAAAATTAATTCAAATATTATTATTATCATTTACTTCTGATAAATTATAGATAAAATGCCATACATGTATTTTTTTTAGCTCTGTTTGGTTCTACGTAAATACTACAAGTCCGTCAATGGAATGAATCTGAGTTTGACGTTTATTGTTCGTTCTGCAGTACTTCGTGCTATTCTGTAAGAACCCACTCACTTTTCACCTGTGGAATCCGTATTGTGATTTAAAATTAGAACAAGAATTTCAAATCTCACTTGCGAATTCTGCGGTGAAAAATGAGATTGTTACAGAATAGCACGGCTGTTTGCACAGTCAATAAATGAAAACTACCCATGAAAATAGTAGAAATAGTAGATAGATAGATACACTCTTTACTCACACATAAAAATTAAAGGGCTTGCAAAACAGATAGTAAACTATGAAATGAAACGGTGGGTAGAGGGGGTCTTATCGCCGAAAGCGATCTCTTCCACATTAGGTTATTTCATTCTTCATTAGGTTATTATTAAGCATTTAACTGCTACATTTATAAATCTAGAGAATATTAACTAAAAAACAAAAGCAGAAATATTAATTTTCAATGAACAAAATCCTTTTGATTATCCTATGCTTATCATATAATTACTACTTAATTACTATCTTGCGGCTCTATTGACACAAAAACATTATTAAATTGTTATATTTACACACTGCCGGATAATGCCTGCTAAGATAAGACGTAGGTATAATTTATAGTAGATATACCTACCATGTCATACCTCGTTAGCATACCAAAGATACAACTACAATTCCATATGAAGATCAAACACTGACACGGTTAATTTACAAAGTGGCAAAATATTTTTAAATCACTCACGTATTTTTCCTATTTATTCACATGACCACACAAATCATCACGGTTTCGAAAACTATATAAATTAAGCAGCGAAACCAAACAATTGTAACGCTTCATATAATGTGGTTCGGAGTAAATGTTACGTTGAAATCAAATGAGAAACAGATGTAAGCGTTTTCGGTCGCAATATTGTTTACACGCTCAAGTATCGCCACCAGTACTGTGAAACGATTATAAACTATTTCACTAATCAAAGAAGAAAATCTTAGTGATAAATTGTACTGTTAGTTTAAAGTGATTACAAATATTGTGGAAGTGTGTAGCACCCATCTGTAATCAAAGTCAAAATGAAGGAAAAAATAGCTGTGCCTAAAGAAACTTACAACCCTTTTGAACACCGCAAAGTTCAAAAACCAAATTCGTAAGTATATTATTAATTGTTTTTTTTTTTCATTTACAGTTTATATATTTTTTTCTTGTGGGAAATAAGCACAATTATTTGATTTCCCGCATAATGGTGGGGTTGAACTAAAACGTAAAAAATAAAGAAAAATTTACTATAAAAAAATTACTACTCATCCCGTTCGTAAAACTGATAAACTGACTGAAACCATTTTCAGACAGGACGGGATGAGTGGTAATTTTTCTAGTATTTAGATTACATCTAGCAGTTAAATGCTTCAAATAAAATATAATAAGCATAAATAAGTATAATCTTTCGAATAGGATGGAATGTTAGCATATTTTTTTTAATGCAATATTGAGACTTTTAAGGACATCTTGTTATAACAAAACATTTCCCCGACTGCATTAAAAAGAACATAACAACACTAACATTCCGTTCCTTTAAAAAATAACTTATTGTTTACTTTTTAGTAATATTTTAAATCGAAAATCGTGTTTTTTAATTTTTTCATCATCATCAACAGCATATTAATGACCACACTGCTGGAGCACAAGCCTTCCCTATGGATGGAATAAGGAGATTGGGCCATGACCCACCACGCAGGCCCAATGCGGATTGGTGAGTGCTAATGACTACAGATGCTGCCAGGACCAACGGCTTAACGTGCCTTCCGAAGCACAGAGGAGCTCGAGATAGTAATTTTTTGGTCACCCATCCAATGACCGACCATTGCGAAAGTTGCTTAACATCAACGATCTCAGCCGAAAGCGCTAACCACCTGCCCCCGTAGCATGAGCACTACAATTTACATTACATCACATTTTTTATCGCGTCGAACTGTCAAACTCCATAGTAATTTGAAAATTTAAAACGCGTTATACGTTAAATTAAGGTTGCACTGTATATCATATCGCGGTGCTCATGCTAGGGGGGCAGGTCATAAACTATATGCGTAATAATATAATCCTAATCTGTTTAACAGTTTTTGCGTCATTAAGTAACAAACAAACACACACACAGCCACATATTTTGACTAAGGTGTTGTGTTTGTGAAGTAAGGCCTTGTAGAGTTAGGGCGTTTAGTGTCGCCGCATACGGGCCACCGACAACAACCACAAAACGCCGCCACCGGCATATTTCTTGTAGTTTTCATACATTTTATATGGACTCGCCACACACGGTACGCCGGTGGCCGCCACACGCTACAAATCGTCGTTGCTTGCTTCTTCTGGCCCGCACCGGCCACTTAATGCGCCGATACAAAACGCCGCTACACGTCACTCGCGCGATTCCCCACCCCTCTCTCCCTTACCTTAGTCGGCCGCTGTCGCGCGCTTCAGCCACTTTAGTAGCCGCTTCTAGCTTCTCGTGGCGGCGTTTGTGGCTGTGGCGTGTGGCCCGTGTGCTGCGACACTTAGAGTTAGAAGCTTATAGGCTCTATACTATATGAGATATGATAACTTTTGATAGTGCGAATCATATGGCCTCCTCTTCTAAGTAACATTATACATGGTATGATTTTGGTGTGGGAACAAAACACAAAAAAAACCAAAACACCTAAATTAAAACTTAATAACTAAAAAATTAAAAGGAGCTTAATAGCGCAGCCCCCTAGCATGAGCATCGCGATATGATATATAACGCGTTTTAATCACGCTCAATTGTCAAATTACTATGGAGTTTGACAGTTAGACGTGACGTAGAAAACGTGATATAATGTAAATTGTATTGCTCATACTACAGGAGCTGGATAGAGACATAGATAATTTTATCAGGAAAAAATTTAAGGTTCCTGTGGGATTCTCAAAAAAATGAAGGAGGCCGGTAGTTGCGTAATAAAGAAACGCTTATAAAAACTTAAATACGTGGACCCTGCAAGTATACACTCCTTTTTAGAAGTAATCTAAAAAATACACTAGACATAAAAGAAATGGGGTCACTTGCAAACTCGGAACTTTGATCTGATTTTGTCAAAAAGTATAAAACTTACAACTATCAAAGTAATACCTACAGAAAGAGCGTTTCATAATGACGAAACAGAATTAATAAAGATTAATAATTTTTTTAAGTTATTATTAAGAGTTTTCCAAAGTCGAATCTTTTCCCAATTGTGATAATCGGTAGTAAAAACGTAGCAAGAAAACACACGTCTGAGAAAACTATGGACAAAACCAAAGAAATGATAAAAAGCATCAGACTATCTTCATTTTATAAAAAAAAAACGTTAATCGCAACCTTATACAAAAAATAGCAAGACGTTAGTATGTTTTTTTTTTGCTAGATTACACAGTAAGTTGACAATACTTATTTAAATCATCATGAGACGCACTTTCTGGAGGTATAACTTTGATAGTTGTATGCAACGATATGTAAGTGTTATACTTTTTGAGAAAATGGAATCAGATTTCCAAGTGTAATAAATAGCAAGCGACCCGTTTTCTTTGCGGTTGAGTGTAATAATATTACTTAGATTTTGCAATATTTTGGTTTTAGTTGGTTGACTTTTGCCGATTACTAAGCTCTTGGGAGCCAACAAGCCAATAATAATGTTGTCCTTTATGCACTGTAATATCGCGCGAAGGTTACCCTCTATTTGATCAAATGGTAATTCAAATTACGTTATCAGTACAACATTTATCATGAATATATGTAAAATAGTTTATGGTTGATGATGCTTCGTATAATCTGTTATTTTTATTTCAGAGATATAAGATCAACAGCGAATTTGATAAAAGCCTCTTTGGGATCAGGACTACTCGCTGGTCCTCTAGCCTTCGCAAATGCAGGATGGGGTATAGGGATAATAGGCACAGTTATAATAGGAATTATTTGTGGACATTGCATCCACATATTGGTAAGTTTTGGAAGATTACAATAAACATTATAAAACCCTAGTAATTAAATGTCTACGCTGCTTTCAGCGGGAGCACTGAGCGGACAACCACGCCTGTTTGTTTCATGTTATTACATAGAGCATCGCTGCATGTGGCGGTCTCCCGTCTCTGAGAAATGACATGAAATTGTACGCGAAGTGGACGTCCGTCCGGTGTCCCGCTTAACGCAGCACAGGCCGTAAAGGGGGTTAAGTACAAAAAAAAACAGCTGGCAAAGATTAAAATCTTTTACACATTTCCTGAAATTTTAAGTCTTTTCACGCTTTTGGATTGTAGCGCGTGACAACCCCACGACGTCGACTGGAATTCGGTCCTCAGAGTATGTGTCGGTGTGACCAGTGTAGGAGTACTATCCGGTTGGATTAGTGGATAGGACTTCGCTCATTTCACTAAGCTTCTGACCTGGGTGAAGGGAGTGGAATAGAGTCTCAAGGAAGCGAGGATATGTCGCTGCATTCTCTAGGGATGCTTCGTCACCCTTTTCCCAGAATTAAAAACACGTTTGGATTGCCTAGGATTTTGCTTCGCATATGGGTGGGATTGCCTGTAACAAGGTCTGCCTTGGAGCCTAAAAAGACTCGAAATGTCAACTGTGTTAAAAATGTATTAACGTACTTCATACACATATCTAGAGCAATGCGGCCGTCGCGGCCTGGAGAGGAGTAGACATACACACAGCTTTCCCCTCTGTCGAGTTGGTCATACAAACAATACATGTGTGCAGGATTTGGCGATGTATTGCGTCATTGTTTATGTGTATATTCGTTACAATTTTGTTTTATATGCGTGTACGTTAAACAGCTTTTGTACGCATATATCCCCCCGCAAAAAAATAACCGAATGATTTAAATAGTATGATGTCGCTATAACTACTTCCTTCGGAGTTGTTCTATGTTCGTACCCTTAATTCAAATTAATGTGAATTTTGAACATTGGGTGCAATGCTTGCAAAATTCTCAGTTGTTTATTTCTTTCATATTTCGCTTTTAAATTACCAGGTACCTAATTATGTATAATTTACTTCGTTATATTTGAGGGACAATTATTTTAGCTGTACAGATAAATTTATACTCTAAAACACAGCATTAATAAATAACCTAGTACCTAGTACAACCTACCTTGTAGTGACAAATGACTACTGAATTTAATAACCAAACATTTTTGGAATCTAGATATTTCGATGTTTTATTTCATATTCAAGCATCGGAAGCCTGGGTTTTACTTTTATATTTGTGTGGACTAATAACAATAACTTTAGTAAAATGTACTCCAAAAGTTTAAACTAAGCACTCATCAAATTTTGGCATCTGACAGTTTTAGTTGTTCACACCTTAAAATATGTTATGTTATCCAAAATTAACATCAAATTTATCCAAAATCATTTTCTTTTTATTTTTTTATTTAATGTATTCCTTTGTTCATCACTTACTCATTTATTCTGTAAGTTTCGAGTTGATATTTGTATTCATCGCTTTAAAGGAAGCTGAGACAAAGCCCCTTGTGGTGGGATTTTCATTTGTTATTATGATAATTAACATAAGTATTCTTTAAGAATTCCCGTCCGCCATTGAAATATTCGTGAAATTATTGCCTTCTCGTCTTCGGACAGTATTGTCAAAATCATGCCGACTTCTAGAAAATGTTGATAAAAACTTTTAAAATATTGAATTTTTTGTAGCAATCAATAATCATGAGATATCCAATTTTTAATAATGTAATTTGCGAAAAGCTCAGTGGCGCAATAGTTAGGGTTTTCAGCTTACGATCGTGGAAGTTGAACAACTTTTGCAATGGCTGGTCATACGTACTGGTTAACGAATAAGATATCATATCTTATTCGTTGATTAGCTCGCAGACTGCCAAGCTTCGGAAGTCACATTGAGCTGTTGCCCCGGTTGCGTTTGCAGTAGTAAGCACCCACCAATCCGCACTTAACGAACGTACGCCGAAACCCTACTAGACCATAACTTAGCCTAGGTGGGCTATAGCCCGTTCTCCGAATCCGACTTATCAGCTGATGAAAACGATGAATTTTCAGGTAAAAACTTCGAGAGGATGCTGTGTGATTGAAAAGAAACCGTCACTTGGGTACGCTGAAACATGCAAATCAGCTTTTGAAAATGGCCCTAAATGTGTTCAACCTTTCGCCAATGCTGCAAGGTAATTATGAAAGAAAATAAAAGAATGAATAAATATAGCATAACTAACAAAAAAGTCATTAACAATTACACTAAAAACAAATTTTGCTGAAACAGCAAAATTACAGCCTCTCCCCAAGGACAATTATTATGTGATAATCAGGGCCACATCCAAATGTGGCCTTGATTATCACATAATAACAGTTAGATCACATTGTTGTGCTTAAATATTATAATAGGGATGATGACTATTTTTTTTTCTTCGTTTATCAGGTAGATTATCAAAAAGTATTGGACACACACGTCTTCTTCATCTCGCGCGTCGCCGGCGCCGAAGGCGCCGCGGCGTGCGGGGAGTCTGTTCTGGGCGTGTTGCCCACCTCAGAGGTAGCGGGTTCGAGTCCCGCTAACGAGCGGGACTGTCCTTGGGGTCGAACCCCCCTCTCTAAGGCTTCACTCGTTGCCCTCGGCGCAGTCAAGCCCACCGGGTGAGACCCATGTGGGCCCAGTGAGCGACCAGCGAGCGGGCGACGGACTTTGGCGTGAGGGGGGAGCACCATCTGTATTCGGGTAGAACTGAAACACGGCTACCCGTGCTTCTCCAAAAAATCCTTCATCTGCTGGGCAAGGTTCAACAGCTGTCGGATTGAGTCTAATGAGGCCGGCGCGTGTTCGCTCACCTCGCTTCTTTGGGTTGGTAAGGCGGGCGTGCGGCCAGTTCGGGCCACTGTGGTTGCTCTCTTGTTTCGCGCCTCGCAATGAATCACGGGGCACGAGCTGTGGTTGGCTGGATGCGGGCCCTTACAGTTGACGCACGTTGCGGGTTGCGTTCGCGGGCGGGGACAGTCGGCGGCGGCGTGCGAGTCTCCGCAGCGCAGGCAGGCAAGCGTACGGTGGCACCCCTTGCTCGAGTGTCGGAAGCCCTGGCAGCGATGGCACTGCGCAGGGCCCTTCTTACCCCTCCAAGCTTCAATCGTGATCCCGGGCATATTCAGGAGCTCACTCACCGAATATATGTCCGGGATGAGGCCGAGTGTGCGTTTGAGTGCTGCGTAGAAGCTACATCCGGGCCGGCCTACTCGCGCCCGGATCTGCTTCACGTGCTCCGCTTCGTAGCCCTTGGTGGATAGGGCCTCGATGATGCTGTGCGGCTCTGTGTTGAAAGGCAGCCCTCGTATGGCTACCTTTAGGCTGCGTTCCTGGGGGAGGGCGTATGAGTACCAACTCACCCCGCTCTGCCCCTCAAGCTTAGAGAGGTAGGCTTGGATGATACGATACTCATCGGCGTCGGCTGGGGTGAAACGGATGCCCGTTCCAAACGGGCGCGCAGTGGGTGCGCGGCCAAAGGCGTCGCGCAGGTGGCTCATGTGAGTGGCTCAGTCCGGCAGGTTCTCGGCCACCAGCAGCGGGTATTTAGGTACCCGTTGGGCCGTGGAAGCTGTCAGGGATTGGTTGCACGGGCGGCGTAGTGGTGTGCGATGCGGCGGTGGGTGGAGATTTTTTGGCGGCGTGGCGGGTAGGCGCGAAAGTTTTCGCGGCCTGTGCGAAGCTCACCGGTGGTGTCGGTAAAGCAGTCGCGGCTTCGATTACTCGCCTTAGAGGGTAGTCGCGCTGCGCTGCTGGCGTTTGTTGCTGCATCGGTGAAGGTGGCGTCTGCTCAGGTAAATTTCCGCTGCTCAGCGACCGGTGTAGGCGCGGGTCGCGCGGGTGTCCTACGCGAGGACGCTTGTCCTCGGTTTTCGGCGAGGAAGTGGCGAGGCGGCGTTTTCGAGGGAGTGGCGTAGATGGGGGCGGAAGCATAAGCGGCGAGCCGCTGAGCGCCTGCAACGCCTCCAGGGCCATCTCGAACTCTAACAGTCGAACATAGGAGCTCAGCCAGCGGTTCAGCCTGTCCGACAGCATGCCGGACCCGACGAGCCGAGCTACCATCGTGGCGTCAAATGCATCTTGACGCCAGGCGATGCTATCTCGATCGACTTGGCTAAAACGCTGGCGAGCTCCTCGTCCGAGATCGGAGTGAGGCCTTGCGAGGTTGACGGCGTCGGGGTTGGCTGGTTAGCAATGCTGCGTACCGGGGACTACGCCTTCGCAATCCTGGCCGAGCGGCGCCCTAAGGCGCGCTCAAGGCCTGCGGCTGGGTGCGCGGCAGTCTCCGCTGGCACGGAATGGCGCCAGGCAGTCTCTCGAGGCAGAAAAACTTACAGGTTTTTTGTCGGAGAACTTGAAGGTAGTTACGGATTCGTGCGTAGTGGCGTAGTACGGTCCGTATTGGACACGTATTTTCTTTTTTTACATATATATAAACATTGCAGAGATATATTGATTTGAAAAGTCGCATGACGTCACGTTTGAGTACACTTTTAAGTGAAAATTCACTAAAAAGTAACGTCACGAGCCCCTACTCCCAAACTTTGACGCGCTATAACTTTGTCATTTTTTGATTGATTGCCCAAAGAAAAAATACGTGTACATTATTTTTTGATCATCTAACTGACGGACTAAATAGAATTTCGTTTACTGTACCCCGTCATCACTCCTATTACAGGTTTATACGTAACAAAGTAGCTTCTATTGGGGCCAAAAACTGTAACTAGGTATTAAGTTACTTTAACATAAAACAATTTTCTTTAGATTTTTTTTTTTTATTTATTAATTAATTTACATACAATACAAAACATGATTACAGCACAAAAACCTTAATGATTTATCTATGCTGCAGAGTCGCTCAACAGCCAGTCACACCAAACAGCCTGTCTGGTTTTCCAAATAATATTCTTTTAACATTTTAATAAAGGGTCTAGAAGATTTTATTTTATTTTGAATAGCCTCTGGTAGTTCATTCGTGAATAAGGGTAACAAATACATAGAAGTTCTGGTACCATAAATATTGTTGTACTTTGTAGTAATAAATAAATTATTATTATTTTTTAAGTTCCTAAGATTTAATGGTCTTTGATAATGGATTAACAATTTGTCTCGGTCAGTCTGCTCTTTAAGGATGAAATACTTAATTTTATCATATACGTTGATAACATTACAGTGCTTAAACAATCCTTTATCGTCATCTTTGTACTTTAACTTAATTTTTAATGGTACAATAGTTCTAAGCATTGCCCGTTGTATTTTATATATTTTTTGTAGGTAAGTATGATATGATCTACCATAGCTACTCAAAATTTACTTTTTACTTCAAATTTAACATATTATAGCAGTTAAATACTTAAAAAAATATAGGTATATCAATATAATTGCTAATTTTCTTTCAAATGTTTAATTATACTTGTAAAAGTATTTATTTGGGCTACCTACATAGCGAAAAAATGGCGCTGCCTAGGAGCTTAATAAATTCTAGAGAGAATTCGACACGGCCATCAGGGCCGCGGTAGCATAATGGAAAGTAAATTCGTCCGGATAGCGAAGGGTGCGGGTTCGTACTTTCCGCGTGGAGTACTTTCTAGTGGAATTTTCTTTAGCACTACAAACTAGTTTATTGATGTGTAACATCTTTCCTCTCGCTTTCCTGCAATTTGTGGGAGTGATTTCGTGTAATGGGACGGTAATGTGTAACAGGAAGTCGCGAAAGCGTGCGCTATTTAATTAAAATTTAGAACATAATGTTCAAATGGCTTATTACTTTTGTAGTAGGTTTTATTTCTTTTTTTACTAATATAAGGTGAGGATTCAAATATTACACATCATACGCGACTACTGTAAGGCTCCCTCGTTTTTTTTATGCAGGCAAACGAGCTGATTGTCAAACTGGTGGGTTGTAGTCACTGCCACCTAAGGACACTTGCCACACCAACTCTTGCGTTGCTGGCTCTGACAGAAAAGGTTCACCTGTACCCTTAGTACGAGTTTGAGCTCACGAAAACTATCGTAGTTTTTGTAATTGTAAATTATGTTACTATGTCGATTTTGATGAAAAGTAACCAAATATACTTAAAATTTAAGAAGACGCCAATGATTTTATGATAGAATTTATACACTGTTTATTTGTATTGAAATGCAAACAATAAAATCAGTACCCTTAGTACGAGTTTGAGCTCACGAAAACTATCGTAGGTTTTGTAATTGTAAATTATGTTTCTATGTGGATTTTGATGACAAGTAGCCAAATATATTTAAAATTTAAGGAGACGCAAATGATTCTATGATAGAATTTAAAAACTGTTTCGACGACCTCCGTTGCCGAGTGGTTTGTATGCCGGGTTTCATGGCGTCCCCGACTCGAGAGGTCCCGGGTTCGAATCCCGGTGGGGGCAGATGTTTTTGTAATGAATACGAGCATTTGTACTCTAGTCATGGATGTTTAATATTTATTTCTATATAAATATACTTATATATGTACAATATATGTCTTTTATCCATTACCCTAGTATCCCATAACAAAAGCCTTACAGTGCTTGCTTTGGGGCTAGGCTAATTGGTGTGAGTGATGGAAATATTTATTATTATTTATTACTGTTTATTTGTATTGAAATGTACGAGTACCCTTAGTACGAGTGCGAGCTCACGAAAACTATCATAGTTTTCGCAATTGTAAAACTCGTACTAAGGATACTGTCTTTTAAAGACCATCATTTGTGAAGTCTTTTACTGTAACCTTTTAAAAAGTAAACAACATTTTAATTTTTTTGACGTTAGTTTCTTACTACTATACACACTTTCAAGAGCCAACGGTACTGAATTGGTAATAACTAAGAAACACGTGCTTTATAACCTGTTCATATGTAAAGTATTGAATAATGATAAAAAAAAACAAAATAATTAATAGTTATAAGTACACAATTAATAGCATCTATATTGCTGTAAATAATATGCATAAATTTAATTTATATTTTTTTTTTTTAATATTTTCTACAACACAATTTCAAAACAAAAAAAAAGTTCAAATAATAGTCATAGTATAAGAGATAAGAAATCTAAATAAATTATAGGTACTGGAATTTTATTAGGCTTTAAAATCATCATGTTTATGGAGATTATAAACTAAATAAGACACAATATCTCATAGCTCTGTAGTTTTAAACCAGTGCACTCAATTTAAAATACTGTAAATATGATAAAACTCAAAAATACTACTAAAGCAGGGGTGTTAAAAAAATATCAGAGCAAAGCAAAGTGTGTTGGTTGACTACATACTGAATTAAATTATTTACAGCAAAATAAATAAATATACATTTACAACGAATTTTCCATTGCCTTATCTTCAAGATATACTTATAATGTTATTTTCTTTATAGCGTGTTTGCGGAATTTTCTCTTCTATCGACGTATGTTGGTGTATGTTGTATCTACACCGTACTCATATCTGACTCGATCAAACAGGTTTGTTTGTTTTCACACAAATTTAATGAGAATTAAAGTTAAAGAAACATGACAATTATTTGCTTTAAAAATACAGTAAATAGGTATTGAATCGTTATAGTGTTTACGTTGATGGTACACACTAATACGCACTCGATTGTTCATATTTTGTCCATCAGAAAATAAAAAAGGTACCCATACCTAATTTTCTATCCGTCTCTCTAGTATTCCTACAAAAACATTAGAAAATTTGCCGTTGTACCGAATGCAAAATTAAAGGTGCAGATGAAACTGGTTTCGTTTGCACCATTAATATGAATACAACTTCTTCCCGTTTCTTTCCTCGCCATAAAACAAAAGCAATGTTGAAAAAGTAAATGAATGCTTAATAAACAAATAAACTCCAAATCCTCAAGTTTGTGCAATAAAGTTTCACTCCTTGTTATTTATAAAATTTTAAAATTGGAAAATTAATTCATAATTAGCAATAGGTGTTGCTACCTAAATATAAAACTGCATTTATTGTATAAGTGTCATCAAAATGGTACAGATGACAATCTCTATACATATTGTGGTTCGTTTGCGCCATTAGTGGTGCACATTAATGAATGGTGCATTCGGTGCAGCGACGAAAATTTTTATTATTAAAACTATAAAGAATGAGATATAATTTTGTATAATTGTATTTTGTTTTTCAGTTGGTCGATCGTTATTTTCCATCTGCTATAATGCCAGTTGAATATTATTGCTTGATAATATTGGTTCCACTATGCATATTGTCACAAATAAAATACTTGAAGTGGTTAGCTATATTTTCTGTATTGGCAAATGTTTTACTGGTAGCTACGTATCTCGTATGCCTTTACTATATTTTCAAAGATAGCATCTCTTTCACTGACAAGACAGCAATAGGTGATCCTGCCAGATACCCAGCTTTTATCTCGTAAGTATTAATGAAAAACACTTTTAAAACGAATTATATTCTCAGGCAGTGTGTAAAAAAGAATAACAAATATTTACAACAATTTTATTAAATATTAAATAGCAACAAAACGAAATTATGAAAAACTATGCTACTAACATGCTTTTGTTCATTATGCAGCGTTTCTACTTAGTACTCAGAACCTATGATCAAAACAGTTCTTAGCGAGCAAACATTTATTCGCTCGGTAAATTAAAACATCAGAGCGATCGAACAAGTTCGTTCAACGACGATCAACTAATCTCAGCGAGCAAAATGTTCGCTCACTCGATCATTCAAAGGAAGCAACTTTGTACCTGTGCGACCGTACAAGCTTATGTTTAGAACATTTATTTTGTTCGTTTGGTTATCATAGCGGAAACAAGTACTACTTGTTTTGATCTCAGTAGCTTAGTGAAAACGCAGCTTTTTACAAGCAAAACTCGTACCAGGTCGAAATCCTTAAATCTTCATTACGAGAATGCTCATTTTTTCAAAGACAAAAGTATAATAAAACCTTTAATTTCTTCCGTATTAGACAATATTAAATTGTTAAAAAAATATTAATTGTTGTAATTGATCTTAAAGCAATGTTAGATTATAGCAAGCAATTTAAAAATCTAAACTGGCATATGATTTAAAAAAATTTACTGTAAAACTTTTAACATCAAATCCGCTTTTTTTCCGTCCTTGACAATGCAGCAATAATGTTAAAAACAAATAAATTAATGTTTTCAGTACAGTAATATTTGCGATGGAAGGTATAGGTGTCGTTATGCCTATAGAAAATGAAATGAAGAAACCAAAGAACTTCCTCGGATGCCCCAGTGTTCTGATCGTAGCGATGTCTGCGATAGTATTCTTGTACTCCACTTTGGGACTCTTCGGATATTTCAGATATGGGGACGTCCTAAGAGGGTCAATTACCTTGAATCTCCCAATGGACGAGTGGTAAGTAACGATTGAGTTGCAAAAATAATACACATCAGTAGTGTTATTCTGTAAGAACGAACTTACTTTTCATCACGGAACTCGCCGGTGTGATTTGAAATTTATTTAAAACTAGCTGTGCCCCACGGTGTTACCCGTGGTTTATTAGGGATATTTTCCCGCTGTAAAACGTATCCAGGATATCAGCTAACTCTATACCAAATTTTATTAAAATCGCTCCAGCCGTTTACACGTGAAGAAGTAATAAACATCCACACTCACAACAGATGGCGCTAGGAGTATTTATTTCATTTTTTTTATGTGGTGATCTAAACTAAGTCGTCCACCACACAGCCAGACAGAAAATTACATATTTGTATGCCAAAAGATGATCCCAACTGTAAAATTTCTGCGATATGACGGTTCTGCTTGTTATTGTGGATATTAAATATATGCCTAAACATGATTCTGACTTACAAAATTACGAGTTTTGACTGTCGAGCTGTCTGATATGTCTGAAGTTGATACCATCTATTGATATGCAATATTATGTTAAGAGTTGACCCATAAATATTCTGTAACAACTACCAAAGACAATATCTGGTTATTTACCTCTTTAAAAATTGTAAATAAGCTATATCGCGTTCTTGCAATAACTAATTTGATTGTATAAATAGGGACCTAAAAATTTAAAAAACCTATGACTGACTTTCGTTCGTGTCTTTTCGTTCGTCTCTTGCCCTATAGCTATTCTTTTTAATGTATTACGACAACAAATAATATTTAATACTAGAATTGATGTCCCGAAACTAAATTTGCGTAAAGAATGAATTGTGATTATACCCGATATCTTAAAGTTTTCAATAATCACACTTAGTGTTCACAATCTCGTGTTCAGAAATTTGTTCTCATTATAAATTAAATAAAGATTGCAGATATAGCGATACTTTTCACTATAGTACAAATAAATATTGGAATAAACAATCAATTCAATCCTAAACACACTTAAAATTTTGAGTTCCTATTGTTATTCATCTTTATACAGACCAGTAGGAACGTAAGGTTTACGTGCTTTATAAGAACGCAGGAATACATTTCATGAATATTAGAAAATAAGGTATCTACACTTTATCATTTTCTTTCCAGGCCAGCTCTTTGTGCTAAAATTTTTATAGTACTGAGTATTTTCTTCACATATCCCCTCCAGTTTTTCGTCGTAATAGATATATTCACGAAATACACCGAACCACACATAAAGGAGAATTATCGTCTAACCACTCAAGTCGTTGCTAGAATTGTTGGCGTTTGTTGCTGTGGTATGTATAAGAGCATTAAGAACTGGATCCTAAACACGTCTCTTCATTATTTCATCACACATTGACTTAAATTTATTCTAACTTACTTCAACTTAATTTCAAAATATTAATAATTTGTTTTGAAATTTTCAGTGGGCATCGGTATCGCTTTACCACTTCTGGAACAAATCATCAATATTGTTGGCGCTTTCTTCTATTCTATACTGGGCCTTATCATCCCTGGTATCATAGAGACAGTCTTCAGATGGGAAGACCTCGGTAAATTCAAATGGGTTCTGTGGAAAAACGGCTTCATCGTTTTATTCGGTGTTGGCAGTTTGGTTTCTGGATGCACGGTCACAGTTATGGACATCATCGATATTTTACACAGAAAAACAGAATAAATGCATCGTTCGAAGTGATTTTCATAGAATTTGTAGAAAGTTCAAGAAATTTCATAGAATTTATTCTATACAATATGATTGTTACGGAAGAACAAATGCTTTTGTATTTTAATGAATAATTAATGTATTAATAGTGTGCGCACAGTATTGGAAAATTTTATTACTTATATTTATTCTTCACATGCTGAATCTCTCTTTTTCATGCCTATTTAAGTTAACACTGTCAAGTTTATATTTTAACTTAAGTTATTGTACAGGTAAATAAGATATCGGGATATTTAACTCAGAATGATATTGTTATGGAGGTACCTCATTTTAATAAAATAAATAAAAATCTGGTTATCCTTTTATTTTCATCAATCCTAAAGACGTTTTCTTTCCTTTTTTCAAGTCATAAGAAAAGTTGTAGTTTTATGAAACCACGACCCGACCGACCCGCGGAGGGTGCGGGTTCGAGTCCCGTCTGGTGCCTGGTCCGCGTGGAATTATTTCTAATAAAATGGTCTTTAGATTTAAACTTTTCCAGTGTTTTAGATCGCCTTAATTTTTGTTATCGTTGGCAATTAATTGATTTTTTAAGGTAGTAAATTTATGGTATTGTAATATCGTTTTTAATCCTAACTTAATAACTGGAAAATAGGAATGATAAAAGGAAATCAAAAGTAGACAAGATGTCCTATAAAAAAGACATGGACAACTTCTGTATGTGCAAATAGTAAAAGAACTTGTCATTACAGCGTACTAATTGCAAATGGTCCGTTAAAACGCCTAAATAAGTAGCTATCAATAACTTCTAATAATAATTTTGCAGCTAATTAGAATTTGTCACTAAAATTGAAGTACTTTTTTGTTATTAACGGTTTAGTTGCAAAAGCAAGGTACAAGGTAACAATCCGGCAATTAAACATTTAACTAAAATTACTTTAATAGTAGTGCACAAGTGTTTGAGTACCATGATGACTAAATATGAATTATTACCATTGACGTATAAATTAGACTTGCAACGAATAGTATATTCGGCAGTATACCGAATACCGAATATTCGGCGAGGCCCCTGACCGAATAGCCGAATGTTAGCCAAAAGTATTCGGCTGGATTTTAGCGCCAAAAACTTGTACAGACCTGATTATTTCGAGCTCCTTTGTTTTGTTTTAATCTGCCTTCCTCAAGCTAAAATGCGGCTAAATGACAAAACCAACCTGTGAGATATGGCCAAAAATGGCACGTAAACTTTAAGTTATTGCTATTATGTAACCATTCATCACATGACTGAATGAATTATAAACTGTTAACAATGACTACTTAATAAATGATTATAAAAGAAATGAGAACCTTACCCTTCTAAATTTTGATTCCACAATAATACAAATACATAGAATTACTTTCAATAGCTACAGAAGTCTGCTGTCAGATATATAGAATTTATGTATTTCTTCTGATTACATAAGTATATTCCGCTATGGATTGACAAAGCTTTACAGAGTAGAAGGATAGTATAAAATCCGGTAAGACACGTGTTGGTTTAAGCCACAACTGATATTTATAACACATCAAAACTCTATACCCACTTAATATCGTGGTGATCATTTTATTAAAACAAACAAACGAAGCGGTACTAAATCCAGGACTTTGGTAACGGGGAGTGTTATCTAAAGAAAATAAAAGGAAATCTCTGTGTAATAAACTAGCTACATTGAGATAATTATGTCTATTTTGGTAAAACATTGTTAAGAAGAAGAGTAACTAGATTATTATCTGATTTTATCTAAATAAGAAATTTATTCACTTCATCTCTTGATAAGGGGATTATGATCACAAAGCAAATTGTAATTATAACGACTGTGATTTCAGTAGAGCATCATAGTTTAATGAAGCTATGCTATTCAGTATATCTTAGTGAAACATAATATCTTAATACGCAATGTTTCAATGTTTAAGTCCGTCCTTGCTATAATCATATGAATATTAAAAGTTAGATTAATAAAACTTGTTTACTCATTAGTGTTAAGAATCGTGAATTACTGCCGAATATTCCCACCATGGCCTCAACAGATCCTGAGAAGAAGGTTGTGGATGTTTATAACCCATTTGAACACCGAGAAGTACTAAAACCCAACTCGTAAGTCATATTTTGAGCTTAGATTTAGAACAGTTCCTGTTTTCCTTAAAATGAGATTATTAGAATCCATCAAATAAGAAAAATTTAAAGGACAATCGAATGCACCTGCATTTACCTATTTTTTCGGCTTATATTCCACTTCTTAACAAACAATACCGTAATCTTATATACACCGTGAATTTTGAGTTACCTGTGAAACTTTACTTGCTAATTCAGACAACGATTTAAGTTATATTTCCGTAAAAAAAAATATTCGAAATATGTCTCCAATTCAACTCACTTGTTGTGAAATTGTGAAACCTTAACAATTCATACATTGATTCAAATAAATCTACTCGTAAAATCTACGCACTTTACACGAATAATAATTCCATGTTAAACCTATGCGGCGTATTGCAATATTTTGTAAATTATATAAATCAATATTTTTGTGTGGGAGTGTATTTTTTATAACCATTCGCACTTTTTTAATTTAAACGATTTAAATGTTTTTTGGGTAACTCAAAATTCACGGTGTAAAGAAGCGGCAACTGTTAAGAATGACTGCGAAACCACTGAACGGTTTGCGCTGAAATATGGCACACATATAGCAATTATGATGTAGGCGTGCGCTAAGAAAGGATTTTCCAAAACTCAACCCCTACAGTGGTAAAACAGTTTGTATGGGAAACCAATATTTCCACGCAGACAGAAGTCGCGGGCACCCATCAGTATAAAATAAGTAGCAACAAATAACAGTGACGTGCAACAAAGAGGTAATAAAATAAATACCCGGACTTTTATTTGAATAAAATTGTTTTTTTTATGGATCAGGATTAAACGTACCAGATTCGCACGACAGTCGCTAATTAATGTTTTTTTATTTAACTTACTCTCTTCTCTTTCGATTCAGTGATTTCAGATCGCTGGCAAATCTCTTGAAGTCGTCCTTGGGATCAGGATTGCTGGCAATACCCCTCGCCTTCGCTAACTCAGGCTGGGCGTTGGGTCTAGTCGGAACTCTTGTCATAACATTCATATGTGGACACTGCGTGCAAATATTTGTAAGTTTCAACTCATATCCCGGCACTGCATTTGGCTATTCGTACTTGCTGTTTGTAATCTTGAAAACTGTCTGTTCCTATCATGCTTTATAAAGAATGACTAACTCGAATAGCCAAGTGAAATGGGACTTAGATAACACTCATTTTAATTTATTTCTGTGACTCAGACCATGCTCTTAATTCAAAGGGATTTTTTATCTGTAATAAAGTTATGTTTTAGAAGACTTTTTCTAATACAAGTTGTTCAGGCATAATATGTGGTGTTTTGTTTTTAAAAATGAATAGTGATTTCATAAATCCCTTCTATTTCTTATGTTAATCCAAAGTATCATGGTTTTATCATCATAATCTCAGCCGTACTATGCCCACTGCTGAGCATAAGCATCGGGATTCTAGGGAGCCAGAAGACACCAATCGATCCTGCGCATTCATCGTGACTTTCTATCCTCGCCATTAAACAATCAAATGATTGCCAGCATCCATCTGCTTTTCAGGTGGAAACATCGCGGGCATGCTGTCGTATAGAACGAAAGCCATTATTGAACTATGCAGAAACCTGCAGAGCTGCTTTTGCAAATGGACCAAAACCAATTAGAAAATTTGCTTACGCCGCCAGGTATGGAAACGCATATTAAGTTACAATATAGCCTCTTGTGGTTGAGGATGAGACCAATTACAGATATCATTATTTTAAAACCAGAACCATTCATTGGTTATTTGCTCATTAGGGAATATATATCATTTTTCTTTTATAGTTTTTTAGTAGTTTACATCCCCTTAATATAGTATAAAAGTATTCAACGTCTAAAAAAATCGATAAATGGACAAAAAAAAATATAAAAAATGCTTGGGCATTTTCAACACTCGCTACTTTGGAATACTTGGTGTGATTTTATAGTTTATATCAACAAAATAAATAAGTTGACTGTTACCACTGTTACTGTGGGGCTACATTAGAGGTTAGGTGCGCGCGCATTACACACTCGCACTAAAGTCGTTACAAAATAATAAGCCCGTTTTGACATTTGTGCGTCCATGAAGTTAAATATTCGAAATTAGTAAAAACTTAAAAAAAAATGTTCTTCATTGTCATTAGAGACGTGCAGTTTTCATAAAATTTATCGAATTGATAATATAATTTAGGAACGTAAATCTTACAAAATCTTATTAAATTATTTTCGTACTATAGAATGTGGTCCCGAAAACTTTTTATCTCATGTTAGAAACCATTAAATATATTATTTTAACATACAAAAACCGCTATCGACAATCTTTCTAAATCTTTAAAAGTAGTTATTTAGTAGAATTAAAATATGTAAAAACGAATGCAGTTGTGTATCAAAATACAGTCCTGACGAACCTTGTGGAACGTGTTTCTCCTACCATGTTCAATAACAGGCAATGGGTATTCCAACAAGATTCGGCGCCAACTCATAGAGCGAAGAGCACACAAGACTGGCTGGTGACGCGTGATATCGACTTCATCCGGCACGAAGACTGGCCCTCCTCCAGTCCAGATTTGAGTCCGTTAGATTACAAGATATGGCAACACTTGGAGGAAAAGGCGTGCTCAAAGCCTCATCCCAATTTGGAGTCACTCAAGACATCCTTGATTAAGGCAGCCGCCGATATTGACATGGACCTCGTTCGTGCTGCGATAGACGAATGGCCGCGCAGATTGAAGGCCTGTATTCAAAATCACGGAGGTCATTTTGAATAAACTTTATTGACATAAGAATCTTTGTTTTGTTAAGTTCATTTTGTTATATAAATGGTTACATAATGAATAAACTTGTTTCAATTATTTTATATTAAACATGTGACAGAATTTATGACCTGACTAGGTAGATATTAAAAAAATAACTCAAAAATCACGGTTTTTTTAATATTATTCACTCATATTCCCTATTTGCTATCCATAAAAGGATGTTTCTTACCCAGACATGGTCATGCACCACAATTTAAGCGGATCACTCTTGCCGCGAATGCTATATCTTCCCTTTTTGTTTTAATCTAAGATTAAAACTAACAAACTTGTACGTAATCTCAACAAATATTTTGATAGGATTACAGTGCTCAAGAACATTAAAATGGCATTTAGATTTAAAATTTAAATATTATCAAAGAGTTTTTTTAGGTTTAAATTCGACCTTACCCTTCACAATAAAGTCATAGGAAAATAAAATAAAGCTATAGCACTAAAGAATTATTATTAGAGGTACCTATAGCAACTTTATTTTTTTATTTTCATCATCATCATCATCAGCCTATTAGTGTCCTCACTACTGGGGCACAGGCCTTCCCTATGGATGGAATAGGGAGATTGAGCCATGACCCACCACGCGGGCTCAGTGCGGATTGGTGGGTGCTAACGACTGCAAATGCAGCCGGGACCAACGGCTTAACGTCCTTCCGAAGCACGGAGGAGTTCGAGATAGTAAATTTTTGGTCACCCATCCAATGACCGACCACTGCGAAAGTTGCTTAACTTCAACGATCGCAGCCGAACGCGCTAGCCACCTGCACCATCGAGCTCCTGGATTTTTTTTATATTATTTCATGCATATTGCAATGAATTACTATAAATGTATTCATGCTGTTTACAGGGTTTTTGCAGAATGTGCAATGTTCTTGACATATATAGGAGTATGCTGCATATTCACAATCCTAATTGCAGATTCTATTAAGCAGGTAAATCTATATTATATCTTTTTTTAAAAGCACAAATTAATAACATTGGAGAAATATATTTAAGTATCATCATCATCGGCCTTTTAATGTCCCCACTGCGTGGATACAGGCCTTCCCTATGGATGGAATAGGGCAATTAGGCCCTGCCTTGAACCACCACGCGGGCCCAGTGCAGATTGGTGCTAACGACTGCAGATGCAGCGGGGACCAATGGCGTAACGTGCCTTCTGAAGCACGGAGGAGCTCGAAATAACAAGTTTTGATCACCCATTGGTCACTCAGCCAATAACTGACCATTGCTAAAGTTTGCTCAACTTCCACGATCGCAGGCCAAACCCGCTTACCACCTACGCCATCGAGCTCCTCAATATTTTTTTACATTACATATTTATTAGTAAGTTGTATCTACTAAGCTGCATGCATCTAAAATACATATACCTACAAGTCTTGAAATTTCCATTACCTCTCTATCTGTAAATTTATAAATAGATTTTGAATGAATAAGAATAATTTTAGAACAGCGTATGTACACCATTATGATTATACCTCAGTTAATAATTTATGGATGTTTGTTCTAGTTCAATATACTCATTACTATCTCAATAGTCAAAAAATGTTGTAGGTTCTATTTAAAGTTAAAGGAATGCAAGATCAAATAATAAATTTAAACACGTGAACATCTTTATGACAGCAATAGAAGAGGATAATCATCCTTATCAAAACAATAATTCTTAACTAAAAGATCGTAATTTTATTAATAATTTACAACTAAGAGATTATTCAGCCATAGTAAGATGTAAACAGAAATAGTAAGAAGGTCGAAACTGTATTTTTTAAAGAGTATGTCACTAGACTTAAGTTTGTCCAACATGCAACATGCCATTTTCAAAAACGAAACTCCAATTCTTTCTTATGATCTTGCGCAAACTAATATAATATTAATTTGGAATACTTTGAACGGGTATAAAACATGATTTAATAACTTTTTTCATTATTTCTGACGTTCCGGATCTTTTACAGGCTACTCTGGTACAAGATATAGTCTTGTTTGTTAAAAGAAAACATATTCGCAACTTATTATTATACTTTCCTAAATATGAAATATTTTTTCTTGAAAATTCCAGAACCTAGTTAATGGAATACGAATAAGACTTACAAAATCATGTATAAAAAGAATATGTTATAGGAACTGCCTATAAAAATAACAAAAAAGGTACCTAATATTTTGGATAGTCACATAAAATATTTCTAAATTCTTAAGAAAATTTTACTAGGAAACAATTCAACTCGGTTCAGGCAGAGAATATATACACTTGGTTCAGGTTCAGCCGGGATTTGAACCCATATCTTCCGCTATTCGGGTGGATATTTTTTCATTTAAAATTTTACCATCTAAGAGTAAAATGCTTAAAATTAAAAAAAATATCATTTTTATATTTTCGATGTATCGATATATTCAAGTAATAATAAGATCTGAGAAAGAGAAACTATTTTATTGAATTTATAATTGAAGAAAAGGTGCTATACTTTTGACATAATGGCTTTTGTTTTAGTTGTTCGATACATATTACCCGATTGCCATATTGCCTGTAGAGTACTACTGCCTTATACTGTTGGTGCCGATTTGCCTGATGTGTCAGATCAGGCATTTGAAATACCTGGCGCCGTTCTCTCTACTCGCAAACATTCTGCTGTTGACGACATTCATTATATGCCTCTATTATATATTCGAAGGGGAGATCTCTTACACTGATAAACGAATTGTGGGAGAAGCAGCAAGATTTCCCGCATTTCTTTCGTAAGTAAGCTCTACAAAATACGCATTTAAGGTCTGTAACAAGTTAACTTTTATATTGATTTCGTTTTAAAGTTCTTTTCGATAACAACGGAATAACAATATATGAGCACTAAATAGTGTATTGAAGTTAACTAACGTCTCTAAATGTGTGCCGACTCAAAATGTCCACACCACGAAATCCATATAATAACAATTCTTACCTTTTAATGCACCCATTTCATTATTCACGATTCAGTGCAGTGGCAAGAAAACTAGAAAAAAATGTATTGATCGAATTATGATTTTAAGCAAGTATTTACTCATATTATTTTACACAATTTATAATAGTTAAGATTTAATTAGAATGCTTTTATTAGACATGAGAGGATGACAACAGAAAAATTGATAAGGGTTTAGATATTTATAGCTCGCGTCTGTAAATAAACGACTCGGAATACAACGTGAAGAGATGGCACAGCCTCGCAGCCTAAAATATAATAGGTACTAAAAGAAAATCGACAAATCCTCCAATCGTTAGCATAGAATATATGACCTGTTGTCTTTATTGCATCTATAGAACCGCCAGAGTCCCATAAATAGTCATATTAACTAGCTCGTGATGTATTTATTTTTTATTGTTTTAGCACAGTTATCTTTGCAATCGAAGGAATCGGTGTAGTGATGCCCATAGAAAATTCCATGAAGACACCTGAGCATTTCCTCGGCTGCCCCAGTGTTCTGGTGGTAGCCATGACGTTCATCATGGTGCTATACAGCGCACTTGGCCTTTTTGGGTACTTCAAGTACGGAGACGTTCTTAGAGGCTCTATCACCTTAAATTTGCCCCTAGACCATTGGTAAGTTTGCATTCTAATTATCAAGAAAATTGTAAAAACATATTCATATTTCTTCGGAAATTGGTGATACAAATAGTATCACCATTTTCCTTTGGAGGTGCTTCATCTTTAAATAATGCATCAAAAGATTTCTTAAACAATGTATTTAATTGATCTTTTCAGGCCAGCAATTTGTGCGAAGTGCTTCATTGCTCTGTCTATTTTGTTTACTTATCCGCTACACTTCTTTGTGATTATCGATTTGTTCACAAGGCACACGACACCACATATACCGGCTAAATACCAAAATATCACCCAGATATTTGCTCGGATAGCCATAGTTTGCATTTGCGGTTAGTATCACTATGATTTATTTAGCATGTGTTCCTTTATAATAGGAGAATTATCTATGACGGACTTTTAGAGGATTATAAATAGATTGCTCATAATAGAGTGCTATTTCTTGCAGTAAATATCGTCCTCAGAATCAAGATAGGTATGTTGTGTATGGTCAATATGGAACTAAATACGTACTAAGATCTATAATATAAATATTTTATAGAATTTAGGTCTTCACTAAAACAAATCGTTTAGAGCGATTATCATAAGCTTTTCTCAATGTTGAATACTGTACTCAATGTTGAATTAGCGACTGTTGCGCGAATCCGGGGTGTTTGATAGTTTATGCTTTATCTTAACATGTAACCAAAAAAAAATTGGAAAATTTTAGGGATTTACGGTAAACCTATAACCACTTTCACGTTCCATTTCTAAAAAAATATAATGTCTTGTGGTAATAGCAACCATGACCCCGTTGTCGCCGCGCGTCCCGGTCACACATCCAAGGCCGCCACCCGAAAATCTATTGTAACACATAAACAATTCAAAAATAACGTTATGTTATTTACTAACCTTTAAGAAGAACATACTCATGAACTAGAAATCGTTTAGTATTTTGTAATTTGTTTTTATTATACTTTTTTTAAGTAGTTTTAATACTTGTAACAAATTTTATCCAGCCCATCGGTTTCAGTAATATGTTTCAGTTCTTTTCAAAACTACCGCACACGGCTGTTGATCAATATTACAGTACAAAAAAAGTAGCTTACTAATTGAACAAAAAAGTAGTAATGTTGCAACTTTCCTTTTTTCCGAATCTAGCCTAGTAAAATATAAATCAAAAAAGATAACAGCAATACAGACAAAGATAATGATGAAAATCTTTGATGCTCTTAAAACTTGAAACTATCTGTAATAAATAAAATGTAGTATAACTAACAGTCGACCGCGACTTTGTCCGCGTTAACTTTGGTTTTTTGATAATCCCACAGGAACCTGATTTTTTTCCGGATTAAAAAGATAATAAATATCCTACTTCTCAATCCAGATCATAAACTATATGCGTACCAAATTTCATCTAAATCCGTTCAGTAGTTTTTGCGTGATTTAGTGACAAACATTCAAACTTTTTTTGTAAGATGTATACAAAAAAATACACTTTTATATTCAGTGTAGTTTATATTGTTATTTCATATGTTTTCCTTGTGAAAGAAAAGATTAACAACCATCTGATAAAAAAGTACTAGATTTTTTTTAGATTTCAACATCTAGCAGTTAAATGCTTAAAAAATACAAAATGTAACTAGATTTATTTTATTCACAGGTGGAATTGGCGTCGCTCTACCGATGTTAGAGCAAATCATTAACTTTGTAGGTGCTCTCTTTTACTCCATTCTAGGTCTCATTACTCCCGGCATAATAGAAACCATATTCCGGTGGGAAGATCTAGGAAGATACAACTGGATTCTGTGGAAGAACATAGTTATTGTGCTTTTCGGCGTCTGCAGTTTGTTATCCGGTTGCGCCGTCACAATATCAGACATAATAAGAAAACTAAATGAGAAAACAATATAATTGATAGATTGCTAGTGTAAATTTAATGTAAATGAAGCTCCAAATATAAGTTTAAGCACTATCCAATAAAATATTAATTTAATAGGCACAAATACTTTTTTCTGGGTCTGCAATCAGAGAATACAAATAATTAAAAATTAACATTCTAAATAGTTTTGAATGTAACTGAAGTTAAGACTTCAGTTTTTTAGTTTCAGTTTTAAGAACTCAAGGATTAAAATAATAATATTTCAAATAAATGAAAATAATTCTCAAGATTCATCGGAAATTTATCTTTAAATGTACAAGTGTATAGTGCAATCTTAATAAAAAATCTTTTATTAATATATATATAATCCGCCCATTTTTTTTCTCTCTATTTCTCCTAGTTACCGGGTTACTAAAAATTACCGATGAAAATTTTCTGGTCATTTATTGGAGTACATTAAAGCACGGCTTTGAAAAGGAAAGAAGATGGGATACTGGGGTGAAAATTTTCCAGAACACACTGTGATATACAGAACACATTTAGTGACGCAATATCGCAATGTAATTGTTAATATCGACTCAAAGTTGGAGATGACTCTATACTCTATTCACGGAAAGCTAAGCTTTACTGTCATTGGCCGGGTTGCTGAAGTAACGACAATAATACTATTGTCGTTACTTCAGCCAATAACAGCCCCCTATCTCGTGTGAGGCAGTTTTCCATCTTTGTTTTTTTGTAAAGCTCAAAAAGCTCTCAATTACCTCCTTTCGGTGAACAGAGTATAATCTCCATGGCCTCAATAATATGCAGAGCAGCTCGATGGCGCAGTGGTTAACGTGTTCGTGGAAGTAAAGCAACATTCGCAATGGCCAGCTTCGTGTAATGAAAGTCATGTTAAGCTGTTGGTCCAGGCTCCATCTAAAGTCCCATTCATAGAGAGGGCCTGTACCCCAACCGTAGAGAAATTTAGAGGCTAATCATGACGCTGCAACCTATGCGTAACATCAAATCAGCCATTCTAGAAGTGCGAGCCAAATGCCTACCAAAATGGAATTTATATCAATGCGAAATTAGAAATCATTCGATGCAGGAACGAACTCGTGAAAATGGCTTAATTAAGATATGTAATTGATGAAGAAAATAAGAAGAAAGTAATTACATATTTTCAAAGTTACCGAAAATAATAAATAAACATATTTTATGGTTTTATTCATATATTATGTCGTATCCTGTAACGATAATTATTCAGTGAGCCAAGTGCGCACTTGTTACTTTTACGTGGGAGAACAGGAATTATGTATACAATAATACATCGTTTATTTAATTAATATGCTTTACATTGTAATAGGATTTGTGAGAATCATCATTTAGTTTTGGCGATGCCAGCAGTATCAACAGCACATTTTCCTAAGTCCTAATATTTCTCAACCCCGTTAAGCTTTAGCTACATTGCTTACTGCAGAAATAAAAATATGTTTAAATTACAATTTTCATATACGATTTGAAAGCTACTCATAGCTATTAAACTTAAAGTTATACAAATCAGTATCAGCGACATCCAGTCATTATTTGACGGCTGTTCAATAATGAGCCACGTTTCCTTTTGTTGACACATAGATTAATGTTTTTTTTTACAATTAAATACAAATTATACCTTTGCTCTTCCTAGCATAACCGAATTTTCCTACGAATTGGTGCGCCCATTCGAGATAGTTACATAGCGTACCAGTCAAATAGAATTTACCTTTTGGTGTGTAGTATTCCTGTTAGTATGTTACTAGGCTCCACGTGATAGGGATTAGGTTCAGGCATAATAAGCATAGCCAAAACGGCAAACTTTTATGTTGCATTGGCTTTCTGACATACGCTTAACCTTAAAGTAGGTTTGATTTACTAAACTTTGTATAAAAAAATATATCAACCAACCTAATCTTGCCTAAAATGTCAGCATGCAATACAATAGTTATTTATGTCTTCTACTGATTCATATGCAATAATAGCTGTTCAATATATATGTAATAATACTTCTTGACACAATGTTCTTTCATGGTTTTTTAAGCTTAATTTAGCACCAACAAACAAATTATTTTTAAAACTACTTTCAGTCATTAGTTACTTGGCACTTAAGGTGCGTGGGTGGACAATTGGAAATAAAAACAGAGTAATCATGTTAACAATATCGATAATAATTACTTACAACAAAAATGAGTTATTTTTATCATGAAAAGAACCTTATTTAATTTATTAACCTTTATTCTAAGTATCTTTTAAATATAAGTAGGTAGTAAAATAAATACAGCATTCTGAATCCTAAATTAACAACTACATTTAATGTTAATAACAGTTCTATTTTTTAATGTTGTTAAACCTTTTCATATAATTAACATTATAAACAATTCAGTGATCATTTTGTTATTGTGTTTTTGTGTCAAAGAAAGAAAAAAAAACTAAGCTAAATAGTTTTTTATTAATAAGCATTGTTGAATTCTTCATTTTATCTGTAGTAAATTCATTCTAAGTTTTCTATTTAATATGGTTTATCGATTCTATTAAATAGGTGTTAAGTAACAAAACTCAATATTATGAGCATTTTAAAGTAAAAAATATATTTGTTTCTTAGGTTTTCACGCACACTACTCATTAAATAAAACAAGTTTCAACGGGTTAGATGCACTCATTAAATAAATAATATAAGTGCATCTGACCCGTTAATAAATATATCTTAAAATATTTCAAAATCAACAGAAACAGTGACAAAATGTAAAATGTAACATAGTAATGAATGGCACAGAAAAACTTTGAATATGTGTTTTCTGAAAAATTTTCATGTTTGCAATAGTTATATTTTACTAATTATGAAACATTAAATTAGAAAAAAAAGTGTCTAACAACACTTATCCCTTAATGGCTGCCTTTTCGTAGTATGTGCAAACCGGCGATAATCAAACTTTCTTTTTAATACTTCCTCTCAGCAAAAAATGCCACTGTAGAACTCAACTTTTTACTAAAGATTATAGAATTGCCATTAAAGAATAATAAAAGATATCTTGTTCAGTATTTTATTTATATATTTATTTATAATAAATGAAAGAGGGCCGATCATTGTGGGGGTGGGATTACTATAGGTTCCGCTAAACAAGTAAATGTCAATTAAAATATATTTTTTATCAAGTTTTTTCTTAATTATGCAGGAAAAGAAAAGAGGTTTAATCAACAACCAATGATTCAAGCAGTAAAATCACGTGGAAGTCCGGCGCCCATTTATAAATACGCCACGGTCTCGTGTGTGCCAAATTCTTGAATTCCTACTACCTATGTTGTCGTCTACGTTGAATAGAAATTATTTATTTACCTACGGCATGTTCGTTTTGTAACAGTATCTCATCACCATTGTATGTTTGACGGTCACAGCCGCAAAGTGCTAGACGTAACTTTTTTTGCTAGGTATTTCCGAAGTTTTTCTGGGAAGGGTCATAAGAAATGATCACCGCATATCTTGCTATTCCAAGTCGTCCATATTAGTATGGTAGAGAACAATATTTTTCGATTTATCTATGGTATCATCATCGTCACCAGCCTATTAATGTCCCCACTGCTGGGGCACAGGTGTTCCCTATGGATGGAATAGGGAGATTGGGCCATGGGCCATTCATGGTATACTTTAATGATATTACCTAAGTGTGGAAACCATTCATCCATTTGTTACTACTGGCATACTGGTTAAAAAGCCTTCAATAAGGATATAATGAAGAGAATGGGCTATGACCCACCACGTGGACCCAGTGCGTATTAGTAGCTGCTAACGAGGTGACGTCATGTCACGATGGTGAGGTCGAGGGGTTCCTTTTATAGAGACGCACTATGAGGACCGAGGCATCCCCAATGCGTGCCGGGAGTGTGGGTAGTGACCCTAAAAGAGACTGGCCACGCACCCTTCAATATCAATCTATATGATTAGACGTGTAATAAAGCCTACGTTACCTACGTAGGCTACTTTATTTTACGAATTTTAAACTCTGGCCGCGTTAAATTGAATGTGAGACTTTCAAAGTGCAAAACTTACGAACCGATTATGTGAACGAGTAAAACAGGTTTGCAAAATTTCATTTGGTGACCAACAACTACAAAAGCTGCACATGATTTACTTTTTTAAGAACAGATCTTAAATATACGCTGTAGAAAAAAGTTATCAATCTATAATTAAAGATATATATTAATATTAATTTAATGATTAATAATAAGAGACCGTTTTGATTACTATGATGACATATATATTTCTTGGCAATAGATATATTATTAGGGTGTTGCAGATTAGCAATAAATCTAAAATTAGATGACAGAAAATATTGTTGTCTTATATTTTTATCGTGCAGAATAACTTCTGTTGGGTTCGCTACCTAATCACTTGAGTTTTTTTACGCAGCTATTGGTGAAAGATTTTCCCCTCGAATTTAATTGCCTATCTGGGAAAGCAACTTCCAACTGACAAGAAATTTATTGTGAGGTAATATGTACAAAAACCTACCTATTGAATTTATAAATTTAAAGGTATTTCGATTAATATCTTCTTCTGCTTTCGTAGTTGATGTTCGCCAAATGAAATTTTGCAAACCTGTTTTACTCGTTCACATAATCGGTTCGCAAGTTTTACATTTTGAAAGTCTCACATTCATTTTGACGCCGCCAGAGTTTAAAATGCCATGTGTAAGATTTCGTAAAACAAAGAAGTACCTACGTAGGCTTTATTACACATCTACTTTAAATACACAACGACTACTTCGTAATATTATCCTTGATGCACGTTTTTGCTGGAAACTTTCGGTTGGGAGTTTGTTTAATTGTTTATTTCAATAAAATGACAATTGGGTATTGGCATCGTAGATTTCCGACATAAAACTACAAAGTTACAACATTCACCTGCTAATCAGACCCGTAAGTACAGTATGTTTGAAATAATCAAAAAATGATCATAAATATTAAAAAATATTCTACAAGAAGTAGGGCATAGCGAATTTTTCGCTCGAATTGGAGCGCCCGTCTGGGGAAGTAATCTCCACCTTACAGAAGATTATACTTAAATAGAAGTAGGTAACTTTTGATGGTGTTGTGTTTTTGTTGGTAAGTCAGGTTCCAGGGCTCCAAGGGTTAGGGGGTTTGGGTCAGGGTAGGCAACGGTGCGAGTGATTTTGGTATCGCAAGCGTTTATAGGCTACCGTAGCCGCTTACGATCATGTGGCCCACAAACAATTTTGTCAAACTTTTAACATGAAAAAATCACAGTGATCGAGATAATACATATTTTAAATATGCGACATAAAAAAATAAGACCTTGTTTGCGAGTCCAACTCGCAATTGGCCTATTTCTGCAACCAGGGCCGGATTTAGGATTGTGGAGGCCCCGGGCCACTTAGGATTTGTATGCTTGTTCATCATCATCATCAATCATCAACAGCCTATCATAGTCCACTGCTGGACATAGGCCTCTCCAAATGCACGCCACTCAGATCAATCTTGGGCTACTCGCATCCAGCTCCTGCCAGCCACCTTGCGAAAATCGTCACTCCATCGTGCCTGAGGTCGTCCTACACTACGTTTGCCTAGACGCGGTCTCCACTCCAGAACTCGTCTACCCCAACGGTTATCGGTTCTTCGGCAAATATGGCCAGCCCACTGCCACTTCAACTTACTAATCCGGTGGGCTATGTCGATAACCCGGTTCTCTGTCTGATTACCTCATTTCTGATGCGTTCTTTCAGAGAAACGCCGAGCATAGCCCTTTCCATAGCGCGTTGAGCGACTTTGAACCTGTGAATCAGCCGTGCCGTCAGTGTCCACGTCTCGGCTCCGTATGTCATCACAGGTAGGACGCACTGATTGAAGACTTTCGTCTTTAGGCACTGTGGGATCGACGATGTCAGGACTTGACGTAGCTTCCCAAACGCTGCCCAACCTAGCTGAACTCTTCTATTCACCTCGTCCTCAAAGTTGTTTCTACCTAACTGCAATGTCTGCCCGAGGTATACATATTTTTGAACAACTTCAAGAACGGCACCGTGTATTGCAATCGGTTCCGGTAGAACATGTTCATTGAACATGACCTTGGTTTTATCCAAGTTCATCCGTAGGCCGATGCGTATAGAAGAGTCAGCCAGGTCATTCAGCATCAGTTGTAGGTCCTGCAGGGTTTCTGCCATGATGACCATGTCGTCTGCAAATCACAAGTGAGAGATGCGTGCGCCATTTATATTGATGCCATGTCGTTTCCAGTTCAGCGTCTTGAACATATCCTCCATTGGATTAGTGAACAATTTCGGTGAAATAACGTCCCCTTGTCTCAACACGTCACTCTACGATGCAACGGTATGGGACTTGTTTGCTGATTCTGTACTTGAACAGACATGGTGGCGGCTTCGTAGAGACATCTTGTCACTTGGATGTATCGCCAGTCGACTTGGCAACGCTGCAGGGACTCCAGGACAGACCAGATTTCAATCGAGTCAAAGGCTTTCTCATAGTCCACAAATGCTAGGCACAGGGACTGATTGTACTCCTCAGTCTTCTGTATAATCTGCCGCACTGCGTGGATGTGGTCTATGGTGCCGTATCCGCTCCGAAACCCAGCCTGTTACGGTGGTTGGAAGTCATCAAATCTTCGCGCAAGACGGTTTGCGATCACTCTTGAGAACAGCTTATAGACGTGGCTTAGAAGGGATATGGGTCGATAGTTCTTAAGTAGGGTCTTGTCCCCCTTTTTAAAGAACAAGACGACCACACTCCTACTCCACGCCTAATTATGTGGCTCTAGAATCCTCATTTCCGGGATCAGGTCGAGATGCATGTGATGCGTATAACTGGCTGTAGAAGTCTTCCACTTCCGAAAGGACTGCCGGCTTTGAAGCAACAACTTCCCCACTTGCTGTGGTCAACTTCGTCAGATGGCTTCTTCCAAGAGATTGTACGAACACTTTGGACCCTCGATTCTGCTCGATCGCTCTCTCGATCGAGAGAGTATTGGAGCATCGGAGGTCGTGTCGTACGTGCTTACTGATCTCTTGGTTTAGAGTCCGCTTTGCCGACGAAGTGACGGGTGGGTTTTCACGTCGTTTCTTCATTAGCCCTAAAGTCTCTTCCGAAAGCTTTGACTTCCTGCCCTTACGCTGCGTTGCACATACTTTCGTACCCTCTTCCCTGAGAATCCGAACCACATTTTCGAGGTTTTGGTTTACGTCTGATGTGGTTTCCACGGCAGCAATTCGGTTCTCCAGATTTGACTGGAATGGATGCTTGTTATCCCATCGAAATTTTGTTATCTTTTATCCTGTTGTGGAGGCCCCGGGCCACTTAGGATTTGCACGCTTGTTGACCCATCGAAATGTTGTTATTTCTTAAGCTGTTGTGGAGGCCCCTGGGCCACAGCCCCACCTGTCCTGCCTTAAATTCGGCCCTGCATATGTACATATATATATATATATATATATATATATATAAGAAAAAAAAATGTCGAGACACGGAATTGAATGCCCAACCTCCGAGGTTGCGGGCAAGTACCACCCCACTCAGCCATTAAGCGATTGGGGTACTCCCTCAAGATGGGTAGTGAATTGGAAGTGCTTATCAGGGCCATTTGAGATTTTGATATTTCACTGATTGCCTGATTGGAGTGAACAAATATAGATCAATGATTTCTGTTATTTAAGATTAATATAATCAAATAATCATTTATGTGAGATGTACAAAGTACTGTAGGCTGTAGGTAAAGGTAAAAGTGCAAAAAAAAATATCAATGGAAAAGATGTTTACTAGTGTTTACTAGTTGGAATATGAAAGATTTTTTTCCGAAGTCTCTATTGTGGGGGCCCCCCGTTTGTGGAGGCCCCGGGGCTTTCGCCCCGGTTGTCCTCCCCTAAATCCGGCAGTGTCTGCAACGCCAACTCACTCGCTAGGCATCACATAGGTAATGAAAGAATGCAATAATATGTAGAAATTTTGTCTCTAGACGGAGATTTTGTCTCATCAAATCATCATTAATCCTGATTTCCTAGTTCCTCCATACCTTGGAATCGGACCAATATTGTGATAACAATCAATAAGATCCAATTCATACTTTATCAACCATAAATAAAAATAGATTTTTAACAAGGTAGAGAAAATGTATAAATGAAACAAATACTTAAACAAATGCTTTCTATTTAAATGCTTGATTATTAAAACCCCAGTACATACATACAAGTGGACACGCAAGGTGGTCACCCTACTGGAAAGTTTATTCATTCCGAACTATTAACTATAAATTCTTCAATGTAATATACTTAACTCATCTTGACGTCAAAAAGCCTTATTTTAGCCTAATCTTCTTAGCTATAATAGCAACTGGTTAAAATTTAATAATAATGATGATCTGCTAATGACACTCGCTGTGCACAGATGACGAAATTACTCACTGAAATTACCTACCCGTTAACAATTTGGACTATTCTTGCACATTTGGCGCACGCTTACCGTACCTAAAGTCAGTCGAACGGGCACAATAATAATTTTCAAATCATAACATTGCATAGTGAAAACAGAGCGGCAAAATTGATACAGGAACTTTAATAATGTCTTTAGTTTGTTACCTACGGAATTGATTTGGTTGATTCCAGTAAAACTTCTTGGTAAAATGTTAGCTATAAACATACTGACTGTCGTTTATATAGTTCTACTATAGTTGTTGTAGTGTAGTGTAGTGTAGGTGGGTATTTCATACATGATCATTGACTGTTTGGACGCGCGATACGAAACATGTCGCGCGTGACAAAAATAATGTTGAAAAAGTAAATTTGAATAATTCTTATAATATCGAACTGTTGGATACTAATGTTCAGTGTTATTTATTTTTCTTTTATTAAAAATACTAAAACTGTGATAAAATGACGGACAATTTCAATATGAAGGAATTCAGTTCGACGTGAGTATTTTACGCTTCTCTGAGGAAATTAATTACCAGTGGTTGTGATTCAGTGTTGATAACAAATTTGAAATACCCGTTTGTTGTTCTTCATAACATCGAAAGTAATACTTTTTGAAAATTAAGTGAGTGTATGCTGCCGGTAGGTAGTGTAACCAATATTATTTCAAATCTTGAATTTTAATATATCATCGTTGTTCGAAGCGATTTCCCAAAGAGACGTTCATAATGAACGTCACATAATCACTTTCATAATTAATTTTATATAAAGATATTTTTTTCCTCAAAAAAAACCCGGTTCTATTTGTTGTAGTTTAACGACCTCGTAAATAGATCGATAGAATATCAATCTGAATTAAAAACAACCTCTAATAGACAAAAAATTATATAGGTACCTACTTACCGCTTTAAATTTTCTAGATATTTTTTTATTGATCCATTTGAATTTAGATCTAACATATCTGGTCTAAATAAGTCTTAAAGCTTTTGTTTTCGCTGACGGAGTCAATGCCGAGTTTTGGCACACTTCACCGGAATTAGGTCAAAAAGAGATTTAAAACACTTTATACGCACTAACAAAACAATTTTCCTAGTCAAAAGAGGTTTGACAATGTTAATAATTTAAAAAATATAAATGAAATACGATAAAATAAAAGATTAGATAAATATATTCAAACAAAATGAAGTACAGACGACAACAAATGCAATAAATAACCAAAAATTTTAAATTTTCTCATACTTACTAACTTGCAGCTTTATCCTGTTGAATATAAGATTCACAATATAGTTATATATTTTCATTTGTCGTTGTGTTGACTTTGCACTTTTTAAATGTTCCAAAATTATGATGGTTCGAAATTAGTTCTAATAAAGATGTCTGGGTTCCTAAAATATTTATTGATATAAAATCGGGTTCAGTATTTATTCAGTTATTTAGCCTAAACCAAATTGTTTACAAAGAAAGGAAATCACGTTCCCGCCAAAAAATAAATTGTGTCAACAAAGGTATTACGTTGACGAAATCACGGGCAATCGCTAGTCATAACAGAAATACTCCCTATTTATAGAGTCCTACTTACAAAATGCAATAAAACATTTCGCAGTCAACGTGGGCGTATCAACACTACGACGACGTCAGAGTCGCCAAGACTGTTAGCAATGCAGTAGTTTAGTTCTAATGTTATTATTATTTTTTGTATTTAAAAATGACTGTTATACTTAATACCAATAATTGAAACCCCGAATCACTATATCTCTAAAGAACATTATGCCTAATATTTGTAGCCCGAATGCACGCATTCCCTAATAACTTTAGAATTGGTATTATTTTGCTGTCACTCTGGCGTCTGTATGCCTGTCTGTCCATATGTCACGGGTCTCTAGCAATTACAGTGACAGCACTGAAATTTTGGTATGTTACGTAGAATGCTTGCCCAAAGACGAATATTTAGTTATTAATTCAATTAAATAATTTATCATGCATGAAAACGGGACGATTTTCTTTATTTTTTACTCCAGTATGTGGCATATCATTGTCTAGATCTCGTTAGGTATGATATTTTTTTGTCCATGACAAATAAATGGGGGACTGTCAAAATTGTCATTTTTAGACCATATTTGTTACGGGGTATCTCAAAATCTTATTTTAACTTTTTAATTTGTTATGAATATGATATTTTGGTTCGGGGCATATGATGTCCCATATGCTGTATTTAAACAATAAATACTGAAAACATCGATTCATAATGTACTTTGTAAGTTAAGACGAAAATTAAGAAATTTTAAACGGAACCCTAATAGAGCGAGGTCAGTCTCGCGCTTGCCCAGTTATTGTGAAAATTCAGGAGAACGAATTATTGTGGAAAAACTTGTAAACAAACATAGATATGCGCCATTGTTTGAGATTTAAAATAAATTTAAAAAAGGGAAAAGTTTAGGAAATAGGTAGGTATGTTTGTATTATTATTCTCAATCTTATATAGCTTCGATGATCATCTACTATAGTATACAGTTAGAACGGATTATTTTATGGCATACGACTACGGCTGTCCTCTTGAAATCACTTAAATAATTTATGAAATATATTACGTGTAGGGTCAAGTGGGGGATGACGCGGAAGTATCAGAAGTTTCGCACTACGCAGCTTAGAGGGTATTCGCAGGGTTTTCCATCGGATATTATGCCGTAAAGTGCCCGTAAGAGTTACGGGGTCCTTAGTGGGCAGCTTTTGCGGAGGCTCGTAAAGCTTGCGGGAGCCAGGTGTGAGGTCCGTTCGGGGGTGTGCCTCTTAAAGTCGTCAGTAAACAGAGGTTTTGCCTGCGTCAGAAAAAAGGGTCAAGTGGGGGACAGCGTAACCAGGGGGGCACAGTAAAACATATGGAATATCTTTAACTTTTTCTCGTTTGTCTATGGTCTGACTTGGCGTGTTTTATTAATTTCATAAGGCAACAATATTTTCTGTTACCTAAGTTTAGATTTATCACTAATCTCAAGTCATTGGTTAAATCTTTGAGAAGCCATCGAAGAAGAAATTGAATTGAATTGAATCACTAATCTGAAATACCTTAATAATAATATCTATGTCCAATTAATATTTAAGTCATCATAGTAATCAAAACGGTCTTTAATTATAAATAAAGATTGTTTTCATTAATTGTAAAATTAATGTTAATTATCTTAAATTATAGATTGATCACTTTCCTCACTTGACCTTAAGTTTTTTATTTACACACAGATGAGCATTTTATTTCATGTTTCATATTTTTAGGTGTGTATTTTACAGTAGTCGGTTTCAAATTTTTGACCTTGCATTTTGTTGAATAATAAAAATTCTTTGAAAATTATTATATAGAGATTCCGAACACCTTTTATTTAGTTTATCGAGTAGGATAGACACAAAAACCACATCAAATACTTTCGTACAAAAATATATATTTATTTTATGGAATATGTTTGCGGCAGGTCTAGTTAACCGAAACTGACTTTCTCCAGTCTTTGCGATATGTTTGCGATATTATCTTTCTTCACGTTAGGTTGAAAATGGATTGAAAAAACATTACATCTTGTGGTAATGTTTATTCGACAATATACCGAAAGTGTTTTTGTTTGTTCTACAATATAATTTGTATTATAATGAAGTGCATCTGCTGTTGATTTCTTCTTAAAGACATCTTATCAATAATTGGTCCTAAGATAACGGACAGCACAGTATTGAACAGCATTAAATATAATTAAGGAAAAAGTGTTAATCAAGCTATAGTACCGAAGTGAATTTTGCTTCGAATGCTTCAAAACCAGTAACACCTCATCTACATATCTAAGTAGATACAATGCAAATACATTATGTGGAACACTATTACAAACATTTTCATTCGCAACATCAGTTGACAACCTCCGTTTTTTTTAAGTATAATAAATATAGAATATGAGTAAGTAATAATAACACTAATAACATAGATGCACAACATAATAAGTTTTTATCTTTAACTTTTGTAAACAGAATTGACGGAAATTTACATCTCATAACTCATAACCAAATCTTTGCGAAACCAGTATTTCACTATAGTATTTGACTGCCATCCTATTTACATTAAAAACATGTTTATTCAAATTAACACTTGTATTCATACCCTGCTAGTAAGACTGATGACGTAATGCATGGCCAATCCTTTTCTGGTACACTGTACAATATAACGGTCGACGACGGCGCTTCTCAAACTATAGAACCGGTTTTGACTTTTTACCCGGCAAAATATTGTCTGTCTCTGTAAGATCTTTAAGCAGTTAAATGATCCGTGCACAAAAAGCGTTTATATAGAAATCGAATAAGTAATTTCTTGAGTCTCGTATAAAAATTAATAAAACGCAAAATCATTATGATTTCTTTCAGCAGCACAAATTCAAGTCTTTAAAATTCTTTTAACTCTTATTTTAGTAAATACTTTTTATTATTTTTCACATAACAAGTATGTAATAAACGCATCTTGTGGGAATCAAGTTAACTTATCTGTATACTATTTGACGACCTCCGTGGATGAGTGGTTTAAACGCCGGGTTTCAAGGTGCTGCCTACTCGAGAGGTGGGTTCGAATCCCGATGGGGGTAGATGTTTGTGTGATGAATACAAGCATTTGTACTCCAGTCATGGATGTTAATAATGTATTTCTATATAAATATACTTATAATATATGTATCAGTCTATGTATTCCATCCGTTACCCTAGTTTCCCATAACACAACCCTACAATGCTTAATTTGGAGCTAGGCTAATTGGTGTGAGTGTTGAAAATATATATTATTTATTTATTTATACTATAATTCATTATAAAATCTGTGTAAGATTTATTCGATCCCAAAGATCGAAAACTACTTATGCTGAAACCACAAAACTACTATTTACTTACTAAATGAAGACAAAACCGTAAATGGGGGCCGTAAATGTTGTCATTTTAGAATATTTTTGTTACGGGTTCTATCTCAAAATGTAAAGTAATTGAATGTGAAATTTTGATTTAATGTCCCATATTGTGTTGTACCTACTTATAAAACAAATACTGAGAACTTCGATTCATAATGTAGGTACTTTGATAGTTGCATGTGATGAAAACAAATAAAATGATTTTACGGAACGCTAATAGAGCGAGGCCAGACTCGCGCTTGGCCAATTTTTATCCTTGAGTGCGACACTCTTAAAACATGATACAGACGCGGGATTAATACGCTAAATATAATATAATAATTCGTATTTGCGCAAGGATCTAAGAAAACGACTATCATTTTATTGAAGTAATTAATACAACTAGATAGAACTACTTATCTAAATATAATGTGATCTATATAAACAATGAGATGGAAATAAGCATGGTATTTATACCTTAAATACTTTATGCCGAGAAGGAATGCTGTAAATAGTTTAGCCTAAATCCTGTATTTAAATTAATTTAACAACCTTTACATTATTTTTCTCAAAGCTGTGTCCTTCAGGAAGTTTTTTTTAAGTAATTAACCTTTAGGATGTATCGGGACAAAGCCCGGTGACACTGTAAAGAAAATTTGCAAACAACACCATTCACACTCCAAAAAAGATGGTAAACAAGCAAATGACCTGTCTGATGGAAAGTTGCTATCATGGGCATTATATAGGCCCTTGTACTGTAACGCCCGTTGCGTTACGGCCTCTTTGCTTGTGTAAACTCTTTGCTCATGTAATGCCTACGGCTGGCAGTTATATTAAAAAGGAAATGTCATTATTTTAAAGATTTGAAATTGGCAATATTTTGTCTTTTATTGAAGATTCCAGCAGATAGAAATAATCAGGAACGAAAACGTTCGGTCGACTATCATTAAAGATAATATGTATTTCTGAGACGAACAAATCAAGTGAACAGTCCTAATCCTTATTATTTATTAATTATAGCTGCGCTCCCAGGCCTATCGACTTCTCTACTTGAGCTTTACTTAAACTCGCTCATTAACAGGGACACACATCCCTGTTAATGAGCGAGCTTTTTAGAGCTCCATGGGGTAAGGAATGGGGCCAGGGTAAGCGATCACATGAGTAGGTACTGTGGTGCTCTATCCTGAAGAGATAGGCCTGGGAGCGTAGCTATAATTAATAAATAATGACGATTAGGACTTTTCGCTTGATTTATTCGACACAGAAATACATATTATCTTTAATGAATAGTCGACCCAACGTTTTCGTTCCTGATTTCTATCTGCTGGAATCTTCGTGTTGTCATTTTAGAGTATTTTTGTTACGGGTTCTATCTCAAAATGTAAAGTAATTGAATGTGAAATTTTGAATTAATGTCCCATATTGTGCTGTACCTACTTATAAAATACAGAGAACTTTGATTCATAATGTAGGTACTTTGTAAGTTGTATGTGGCGAAAACAAATAAAATGATTTTACGGAACGTTAATAGAGCGAGGCCAGACTCGCGCTTGGGGATTGCTAGTATTTCTCGATAAAGGCGCTTTACTAAGCTCTACTTAAGCTTCACTTAAGCGAGCTTTTACAGCGAACTTCCTTAAGATGGGGATTGCTAGTATTTCTCGATGAAGGCGCTAAAATTCTAACGGAGCAGATAATAACTATTGTTATCTTAGCTAAACCTCATCTTTGTTATGCAAAACGCACAAAATTTATAAATTCTGTGCCTAGATTCTATAAATTAAAAACCGCATGGAAGTTTACCTCTTTTGTATGGTTAATTATTTATTGATAAATAATAGAAACTCCTTGTACCAGCAATGCGAAGGACTGCTAAATACTTTACACTTTTATGTGCAAATGTTGATTGTGCGAACAGTAGTAATAAAATAATAATTGATTTCACATGTATCAACATGTAATAGACGATAACTCTATGTAATGGCATAGGTTAGTCTGTGGTCTCCTACAAATTAAATGGTTACACTATAGAACTGGTATTAATATAGAAGTACTGAAAGTAAACTAAAAGCAGCCTTTGGTGCATTAAAATTAAAGTTTTGCTAAAGTTGACTATGGTAATTTAATCATCATCAGCAATCAAATTGGCGTCAAGACAAGAAAGTTAATTAAAGAAAAGATGCTTTATATTTTCAGTGCCGTCATAATGGAAAATGGGGTATATCCCTCTACAATATCGATAAGCACAATCAACACAAAATGCAAAGAAAATGAAGTGGAAAAGGCCTACGATCCATTTGAAAACAGAAAATTGGAACATCCCAATTCGTGAGTATTATTCTTTGGTGGATTTTCCTTATGAAATACATTGTTAACTTATTGCATTTATCCAGAGAAATTATATTTTATGCAATAAGTTATTTTTTACCTATCTCTTTTTGAACGACAGCCAAAAGGATGTTTTCAGAGTTCATGTATGTTTGTGTCTGCGTTTCTTTATTCCATCATAACTTCTAAATTCCTGAACAGATTTAAATTCATAAGGTAGGTATCATTAGAATCCTTATATAAGTGTTGCCGATCGATAGTCGACTATCGATGAATGATCGATAGTCTATCGATGAATGATCGATAGTCTATCGATAGCCAACCAATCGTACGACATCGGCTTATCGATAGCACAGAAAAAGCCAATACTATCGGATGAGTGAAATACTATGATACTATCGATAGCATTGTAGTTCGTAAATAACAAACTATCGATAGTATCGATACTGACGATTTTATTTGCAACCACACTATCGATAGTTTAACAATTTGCAATAGTATTTTATACAATTTTCAGGGATTATAGTCAATCACAAACTATAGTCTAAAACAATCGTTAGTCGATACTAGCATCGATAGCACTAGTATCGATATACTATCGATAGTATTGTTGCAACTATTAATTGTATCGATTGTATCGATACTATCAATAGTTTGTTATTAACGAACTACAATAGTGTCGATAGTATCTATAGTATTGCACTCATTCGGTTGTATCGGTTCTATCGATAGGGTACATGATTTTCGATGTAAACTGTCGATTGTTGTAATATTGATAGTTCGGCAACACTACCTTATATCATTACAAGAGACATTGGCTAAAAGTTCTAACTACTTCTAAAAAATAATCTTGTTAAAGAAAGTAAGACGCCTTTTAAAAATTGAATAAATAATTACAATATGGATATCAAATCAAAAGTGTATGAATAACCTACCTAAAATTTTATATAAGTAGTACACACAAAACATACTTTTTAACTTTTGAGCTGCAAGATCTTTGGCACTAAAACGTATAAAATATTTTTTCGCCAAGCAACGGTCTCTCGATTGCAGTTACTTGTTAAACTTGTTTTTGAATCGTTAGTTCGTTTTTTTAGTAAAGCAGTTGTCTTATTTCTTGTTTTCTGCATTATGCAGGATCAATACAATTTTAACCAAAACGAAGATTCGCACATTAATTTCGCAGATTAGATGTTCTCAAAGTAACAATTAATTAAATCTGCAAATTTACGTCCATTATCACTGAGTGTTCGTTAGAATCTACTGACGCTTAGATCAGTCGTGCTATTCCCTAATAACAAACTGACTTTTCATTTCAATGCGGAATCCGCGGTGCTATTTAAAATTAGAACACGTAGGTATTACAAATAAAGTTTAAATCACACCGGCAAATTTCGCGGTAAAAAGTAAGTTTGTTCTTACGGAACAGAACGGCGGTAATTTTATTTTTTTACTTAATTTTGTTCTGCTCTTTGCAAGCTCATAAATAACTAGCAATCTACATGTGACTACTCTTATTGTAATTCACCATCATTTCACATTCATTTAATTCTTAACTTTGCTTTCTTGTTTTAGGGATGTTCGGTCATTTGCAAACCTGCTGAAATCATCCCTGGGCTCCGGTATCCTCGCCATGCCAGCCGCCTTCAAAAACGCCGGCACGATAGTCGGCATACTCGGTACAATCATGTTGGGCTACATTTGTACGCATTGCGTATACTTACTGGTACTAAAACAATTTCCACTTGTAGCTTAGATTCTAAAGGAAATACTTCGTGAATCTTGCCTATTAAGTCTTAGAATGACATTAATGTTAAAATTACACTTCCTTCTCTCCATTAAACAAACTGCTCTGGAAAATAAAATTAAGTTCTTTGTACACACTTACTACTTTTCGATTTGAAAGTAAATAGTATAGGCACACACAACATAATACACGTACCCAAATATTAACTTAGTATTTTACTGTGAATAGTATGAGGAGCTAGCGAACAAAACGGTATAATTACGCGTTTGGTCAATCTACTTTTTTTACAGTCCGGAGGTTTTGGGCCCGTTGAATTTGAATCTCAAATAAATTTCAATCAAAACCGCCTAAAACAGTGTTAAAATTACTAAATTTATAAATTAAAAACCATGCCAAAAGCTCATTAGAGGTATGTCATTCAGTTTTATACAGCTCCTGTAAAATTTATTTTTTTGTAATTATACAGTTTTGTTCACCAGCTCCTCATATAAATGTCTATCGCAGACAGATCAAATCTATAAATTCTTGTTACATATGAAAATTAATGATAAATGCATGTTTATATTGATAAACGGTAAGAATAAATAAAAATTTTCAGGTTAAAACCTCACAAGAGGTTTCTAGAGTATCCCGTGTGCCATCATTGGGGTATGCCGAGACTGTGGAGGCAGTGTTTGCGACAGGACCACAGACTTTCAGAAAATTTTCAAGGGCCTCCAGGTAATAAGACTTACTTAAAGACACAATTTTTGTTTTCTTTTTTCATTTTGAGTGCGTTTGACCACAATCACATCTGATGTTAAGCGACGATGTGATCTAAGCTGGAAAACGTAAACTCAAATAATGCCTATTTACTTTTGCCTTGAAGGTCCCTCTATTAAATGTATCGGTGAAAACAGACGCAGGAGGGGTGTTCCATTCTTGTGTATAATATTGTCTAGTGTACAGTGTATGATATTAGTACTGTATAAGTCCCAGCCTATCGCCTTCAATCTTCTCCAAATATGGCTTCTCAGCCAATTGGTATCTTTCTATCTACATAGAAAGTTACTGCTTTGGTTAAGAGACATTTGTTTATCTGTGCAGAAAGTTGGGACCTTGCGTTTTCTATCTTCGACTCCCAGTTCCACATGGGACATTATTTTACTATTTCAATAAATTGCAACAGACAACGCATTTTAACTCTTGATTCGTTGTGTAACCAAAATACTTCTTCCCTTCCTTAAAGATAGTTGTGTTAAATGGCAATTAAATCACGTAAACTTGTCTGTCCTTGATATTGATATAATTAATCACAATCGATCAAACAACGAGACAAATCGAAATCATCTTTGAGATTGTCACGTGCGGTGTGCGTGTCGCTTATGCCACGACGCTTATACAAAATTCATTGGTGTGTTACTTTATCTTTCGTTTAAGCTCTTACTATATTGTAAAGTGTACAAAAATATAATTTTACCAAGATAAGATTTTTATAATATTAATTCTTAACGGTTATACTGTATGCATAATTGCATATGCTTCAAAATGCCAAGCCATTTTACTAGGGGGGTCAAGGATGATGAGCAAAATTGACATCAACAGTCTTGGTTCCATTATTCATGACGGTACTACAATACCTTTTAGCAACGTCGTTAAAGATCTGGGCTTGTATATCGACTCGAGTTTTAAATGGCAGGACCAAGTTGGTAGTGTCTGTAAAAAAGTAACGGGAACCCTGCGTGCCCTTTATCGAATGAAAAATTGTTTGCCGGTCAATATCAAGGCAATGCTTGTGCAAACCTTAATATTTCCCATAATTGACTATGGTGATTTGTGCTACCTCGACCTGAATGCAGATCTACTCAACAAACTTGATCGCCTTCAGAATAACTGCATTCGATTCGTTTTCAATCTGAGAAAATATGACCATGTGTCCGCATACCGATCTCTCTTAAAATGGATGCCCATTAGGCAGCGCAGAAGTATGCGGGCTCTGACAACCCTGTTCTCTTTGCTGGATTCTCCAAATGCTCCCCCTTATCTCACTTCTCAATTTCAGTACTTATGTACCTCTCATAGTAAAAATCTTCGATCTTCTTCTAATCGTTTACTTATCGTTCCATCACACTGCTCCGATATTATTCACTCTTCCTTCTTCGTAAAAACGATACTTTTGTGGAATGATCTCCCGCTAGATATCAGAATGTCCCCCAGTAAATATACCTTTAAAACGAAACTGCGAAGCTTTTTATTAGATCAGGCGTTTCGTTGAGTGGTTTGTCGTCATTATTTTGTATTTATTTTGGAAATATGTATGTATTTGTGTATTTATTTAAATATATTAACTTATGTATGTGTACGTTTATATATTATTATTTATATTAATTATTTTTATAAACTTCAATGTGATCTCCACTTCAGTTGTGCACCCTACCACTAATAATATCCACAACATCCTATGGTTGACTGGTAGAGAATGCCTACGGCATTAAGTCCGCCATTGTACATTTGTGCATAAAGAATAAATAAATAAATAAATATGTAGCCATCATTTTATCTCTACGCAGTGATAAAGTCTTCGTTGTTCTTTAATGGTTTGGTACAATGATGAACTTGTTTTAATGTTTTTACCTATATAGGACAAATTATTGTATTAAGAGAGGCTGTCAAAGCCCGTAGGTTGGCAAATCTTAGATTTGATTTCTTAGTAAATATGTAGGTTTAACACCTGTAGTGCTATTCTGTAAGAACAAACTCACTGTTCACCTCGGTATCTGCGCTGTGATTTAAAATTAGAACACGAATCTCAAATTATTCGAATTCCGCGGTGAAAAGTGAGTCTGAAACAGAATAGCACTGTAGGAATGATGTGCGGCGAAACCCAGGACTGTCGTAATAAAATAACGGCCGAAGTGTAGATCGGAAAGTCATTTATAACCGACTTCAAAAAGGAGGAGGTTCTCAATTAATCAGTATATATTTTTTCCTATTATTTGTGCATATCTATCTCCGAGATGCCCTTCACTAGTGCGTTAGTTGGGTTATGAATATTTGGGTGTTCTACTGCGTTTCTAACCAACCAGATATAAAAACGTTGCTAAAAAAAACAAAAACCGACTTCTTAGAAACAACCCCAATAAAAAGTAAGAAATTATACTATCTACAGAACTTTTTAAGTCAAATTAACATATTTTAGAGTTGGTGTCATGCATGATGATATGTATTGTCTGAGTTGCCGTTTACTACTTGGGTTGGCATGGTACGTGTAACGTCTGATTTTTATTTTTGTTGAAAGAGTTTTAATATCTGGTAGGATCGAAACGCATTAGAATACCGAAATATCCATAACCCAACTAACACACTAGTCAAAGATACAGCTTTTCTTAAAGCTCCAATGTCTATAATGGTGGCATAATGGATTCAGGATTCGACACAAGTTCGATAACAGCTTTAATGATAACTTAAAGTTGCAGCAGAATCCTAAGGTTTTTATGGGACACCTTATGGCACCAATAACTGCGCAGTAGTTAGATTTGTATCTTCTTTGTCACTTTTAGATGCATAAAGATTGCAGGGCATTTTTAAAGTCTGAGTTCATTGGAGTTATAATGTCATTTTTTGGCACTTTTAGTTGCAATGCGTTCCCGTATTAAATACTCTGCCACGTTCTTCTGCATAGGGTTGGGAATTGATACTAATTTACTTCTTACGGTTTCCGTTATGCGTGTGTAAAAAAAGTGCTTCATGATAGGAAATAATAACTTTTCTAGATAAAGATAAGATTTACCTACCAAAGTTCAGCTTTTGAAGACTATGCTACACAGAGAAGGAAAGCTTTTCAAACGTTCTTCAATATTGGTTGCCGTTATGAACATTAAAAATGTCCTGTGTTATTTATATGTAAATAAATTCTGTTTATTTTTAGGTTATTCGCACACTCATGTTAAAAGTACTTAATTATCATTAAATGAATAACTACCCCCAAAGCTTAGGTGTATTCACAGAAAATAGAAATACCGAAAAAAAATTCGATCAGATTTTTTCTATGTGCTACATAAACGTAGGCGAGGTGTTGGTCAGAAATTACTATTTCGGTGGTTATTCGTACATACCGGTGATTGTGTTTTTCTGTTTTTTTTCAGGATATTTATAGACTGGACCATGGCTTTCACCATTCTTGGCGCGTGTGCGGTGTATGTCATCCTACTAGTCGACTCCGTGGTACAGGTAATTTGGCCAATACACAAACTCACTGTCTGGGTGTCACTTGCGTGCGAACCGGAGTTAATGACTCGGTTTACACGAATTTAACACGTGGTATGATGCAAGAACGTCTTTACAATACGATAGCTGATATAAAAATAAAAACACACTCTAAGAAAACGTATTATGGTGTGGCTGTCTGTTTATATTTCAGTCCAAAAGCTTGGTTTTTAACTGCTTCAAACATTCCAAATTTATGCGTTGACCGTGTCAGATCGATAGAGTAGGTCGTATGCTCGTCTAGCCTACGCTCGTAAAAGTTAAGCCACTTCCGCAATGGATATCCATAGGAAGGCATGTGATTAATAGCAGTATAACCACACCATCATCATCAGCACAACCTATCAATGTACCACTGCTGAGGTACAGGCCTTCCTTGGGTGGAATAGGGAGATTGGGCCGTGACCCACCACTCAGGGCCCAGTGTGGATTAGTGGGTACTAACCTCTGTAGATGCAGCCGCGTCCAACTGCTTAACGTGCCTTCCGAAGCACGGAGGAGCTTGAAATAGTTTTTTGGTCACTCATCCAATGGCCAACCATTGCGAAAGTTGTTTAACTTCCACAATCGTAGGTAAACCACCTGCGCTATCGAACTCCTCACCTGAGCTGTAACCACATACATCTTTGTAAATTTCATTGCTATTTATTCAATGTTTTCGAGTTTAGTCGCTCGTTTTTCTCCACAGCCAATAAAATTACCCAAAAGGATAGTAAGAGTACAATAACATTGAACGATTCAAAAAAGTAGTCTTATGAATCCAATGATCCAATATAGTAATGAAATTTTGACTTAGACTTGCTAGTGTTACATTTTGTACAATGGTATGGAATCCAACATGGTCTCCAGCTCTCATTTGTTCATTTTTTTAACTTAATTTGAGATTTTCCATTATAAACACTTATGAAACATTACTTATTTAATAAATTATAGTAATATAAGTTGTTTACGGAATTGTTAACATGTACCTTGTTTTAGCGACTTTTCCGTGATCATGGCGCAACTTATATTACTATAATGTTACACAATTTATATAACTATAATGTTAGTGACCATGAAAGTTTAAAACAATATAGTATTTGATAAATGTTACAGGTGATTGACCACTTCTATCCAGATAATGGGATCACCAAAATCATGTACTGCCTGATGTTTCTGGTACCGATTCTCGGGTTCACACAAATCAAGAACTTGAAATACCTGGCCCCCTTCTCTGGATTCGCCAACTTACTGTTGGTGTTGACGTTTGTCATCTGCCTCTACTACATATGCATCGACTTTCCGGACCTCAGCGACCGGCCTATGTCAGTGGACGTGGGAAATTTACCCCTGTTCATAGGGTAATTAAATTTCTGATTAATTGTTTTACCTAGATGAATACCGCTTCAAAAACAAGGAGGTTGTCCATTTGACCACTAATGTTTGTAATATTATTGAAATTTTGTCACGGCAATAGCGTCATTGTGGGCATATTAACAAGTGTGCTAGTTATTCTAACCGAAATAATTTGTGTTGTACAGGAAATTGAGTTATCATAACCACCAATACAACAATAAATGCTTATCTTATTATAGATTTAGTAGATAATCAAATTCTATGAGATTGGCCTAAATACAAAAGTTTAACATATTTTCCTTGCCATACACAGACTTTAAAACAAGCATTTCTTTAACTCATTCCACGATTGCACTTGGTCGCCCGATTACGAGTGCCAATGGAATTTGGGTACCCGACTAAGTGTAAATAAATGGAATCGAATACGCCCGTATTCGGGTAGTTTTCGTTTTGGTTGCCTGACACCGTCTCCCAGTCCGTATTCCAGTGCAAATATTGCGTCGGTTGCCCGAATTCGAGTAATGTCTTTCGTTCACCCGAATACCTACGGGCTAACGACCAAATGTAATTGAGCCATAAATCTGGTGACGATCATTGAACCTACTTTTTCAAAAATCTCAATTAAGCTGCGCTTGGGGTTTCTGGAGTTCTATTCTATGAAGCGATTAATGTGCTTAAGGGACTCTTATGTAATAAAAAATGAGGTCGTTGTCTTAATGCATGCAAAAAATGTAATTTTAAAATCTCATTTCGTTTTTCATTGATTTTCTATGAAAAGATTCTATGGGGGAGTGCACAACGTTTTCCCGCTCCTCTGACAGTTAAATTTAAATTAATTGATTGCTTATTTTGTTACTGATTTTAATTCAGTATAGAAAATAACATAACTTTCTGAGTTTTAAAAGATTTAATTTATAGGCAGGCCCTATTAATGCAAATTTAATATTTATCCAAAATCAATTTTTAGTCTACTGTTATTTATTTTCCAGAACTGTTATATTTGCAATGGAGGGCATCGGGGTGGTGTTGCCAGTGGAAAACACAATGGCGAAACCACAGCATTTTTTGGGTTGCCCAGGAGTGCTTAACATCACAATGACTGTGGTAGTTCTTCTATACATGACAATGGGATTTCTTGGCTATGTCAAGTATGGAAACCTAGCGGAGGGAAGTATCACACTTAATTTACCTACTGGTAAAGATGAAATGTAAGTATTTTTTTATATATATTTAACATATTAGAGATAGTAACAATTATATATAAACAACTAATGACAAATAATAATATTATGGTCCTTGAGTGTTCCTCATGCTAAAAATAAAACAGGGATAAAATACATAGTATCTTGCTGGTCTTCTGCAGATTTTCGAATTGATGATATAGCTCTTTTCAACTTTTATATGTGCTTGTAACAGTATAAACTGAATAAAAGATACTGAAGTTAGATTAGAAACAATAATACTAATAGTAAATAAGTAAAAATTTTCAATATAGAAGTACCTACTGAACATTACCGACCGTTCCTGCTTCAAATGATTAATGAATTAATCTGTTAATAGCGTATTTTTATTTTCAGCCCTGCACTGATGGCCAAATTATTCATAGTGTTGGCGATTTTCTTCACCTACACTCTGCAGTTCTACGTACCAATGGAGATTGTGTGGCGTAATACCCAAGAGTACGTCAGCAAAAAGCATCATAACCTCGCACAGTCTGTCATGAGAGCAGTGTTTGCTATTCTTACTGGTAAGATTGTATGAATACGTCTATTTAACCTCGGGCATTAGAGGGCCACGACCACGCATTGGCCACAACGACCAGATTAAAGGCCGAAACAGACTAAAAACGCGACGCCATCCGAAGCCACGCTACGCGTTGTGAGTCAAAATGAATGTAATATTTTCATGATCAGAATCACATTAGGAACATCCGACGCGACGCGATGCGCATATACTGATCATTGAAAATACGCGTCGCGTGGCGTCGCGTTTCAAAAGTCTGTTTCGGCCAGTTAAAGGTCTCTTAGACAGAGGCTGCCACCGCGGCCGCGACCGCAGGCCGCATATTATGCCTGTGAAACACCTTACTAAAGAAATCGTAAAGATCGCGCACTTTGGAATAGTTACGTACATGCTCTATAATTATTTCAATAATGTTACAGTTTCCTTCATTATAAAGTTCATAAAGTGTTCTTCTACTTTTATAAATTCCAGACGTGGCTACGCCTTAACTTCTAGTAAGTGGGCTCACTTACTAAAAGTTACTGCATCAATAACACATATTTTTTTGGATAAAAAAACCTTTAATGAATTCAGTGCAGTACATATTAAAAAAATTATATAAATCATTTGGACTACCTATCTTTTTATTTTAGATATCACATTTTTCTATCTAACTGCGTTTTGAAACGTTCAACACGATTAGCAGATTTTGATACAACAGTGATGTGTTTTTTGTCACCTTAAGCTGATACGGAAATGTAATGAAATTTTATTTTCGTTACAGTATAAAAACAAAATATTTGATATATTTTTATTATTATTAAAATAATGGTTCCAAACCTTAGCCACACTAATTTAAATGTGCGAGCACCCGGCAATACTATACTATGCTTTTGTCGATACTACAGTATTTATATTGTTTTAGGTACGTTATAATTGCAAACTAAAAAATAAATCTTAATAGAATTGACAAATTTATTTGTTAATATTATTTCGGTCTTTTATTTTATTTAAATCAGATGGCACACAAAAATTGTTTAAATATAGTTCGAACCATTATATATGAAAAAGAAAATTGAGTTTTATCAGAATTATCAATTATTTGAAGTATCATCATCAATACAGTGAATATTATTATATTCGTTACTACAACTCAGATACGTATCTTGATCCTTTGATTGAGTTCAGACCAGCAAAGTCAGGATGGCTGGTGTGGCAGTAATGGCATGTATCCTTGCCGCATCAGCCATAATTTCGATTAGATACCACTTACACGGTGGGGTGGAGTAATTTGCTGTGCACTGTAAAACTTGTGTCATTTGCCTACCTTTTACTACATACTTACTATTAATATATATTTATATAAAATTTTTATAAAATGTTCTAAATTTCACAGTGGTTGCTGCTGCGACGCTACCACGACTGGAACAAGTGATCGGTTTGGAAGGTGCTTTCTTCTACTCCTTCCTTGGACTCATAGCGCCGTCCATATTGGACCTCATGTTCTCCTGGGAAAGGGGACTCGGAAAATACAAATGGATACTCGTTAAAGACACTGTTCTTATAGCTTTCGGGACATTTGTACTAGTTACGGGAGTGACGCAAAGTATAAGAGAAATAATTAGGACTAATTCTGGCGGTATGTGAGTTGTGATAGTGTATAAGTATTGGCAATGTAAATACAGTATTAAATTGTATACTTACCTGAGAACTTAAAATAAATCTTCATATAAAACCACGTTATAATTACTTAATTTCCTTTTAATTGATATGGAAACACATATTATGTACCTACTACCCTCGATGTTTTTTGGCTCAATTAATACCGCCGTGAAATGCAGTGGAAGTGAATTTTTGTAACGAAATTATGCAGAGCATAATGAACTTTATACACCACCTGCAGCTTGCGCACGTATTAAATGTCAAAAAATCTCAACTGAAAGTAAGCTATTAAAGAAATGGAGCTAAAGTTGTATGGAAGTTAGTTGTAGTGGGTAATAATGACAGTTAAATTTAGAACTTCAAAAAAAACTATCGAAAATAGTTAAAAAAAAAACAAGACTGTTCAAGACATAAATTCCTCGGTTCAAGGAGTTTTTAAATATAAAATTCGACACATCACAGGGACTACGCCAATAAAAAAATATTTAACAGAAAACATGGCTGTGTCTATCTTATCAATCAACTTTCCTAACTAAATATCTAAAGAAAAAATTGTTAATATGTGATTTTTACTGCGAAATTGTTATCATCTATAAAATATTTTGCCACACGTATTTTTTATTAACATTAACATAAATTCAAACAACGATTAGTTATATTAATTAAATAAATTACCAAACAAAAAACGATTGACTATGGTAATTATAGAAATTAACAAAAAAACCATTAGCATTATATTTAAATTAAAGATACAAACTTAATAATTTCGAGTCCATGTCCATGTAGAACACGGTAATTTTACCGTGCCGTGGACATTCAACCCACTCCTTTAAAAAAAAACTCAAAACTCACTCATTTATTCAGTCTAAGCTGTTACAAGCTCTTGAGAAAGGCAAATGCTACGCCATCGGTTCGTAAATCTACGGCGGGAGACCTTGTACTGAGAAGAACCGGCAAGAAACTCAGCAAGGGCTATTTTTTTCTCCCTGTTTTGTTTCAAACAGTGTCGTCAATTGAAAGATGACATCAAAAATTGAAAACATGTATTGATGTCAACTTCCATCACATTAATATTATCAATTAACAAAAGTTAAGTATAGCTAGGTACTACTTTTAAATTTAGAAGTGACGATTAAACAATTTTCAACCAAATCAGCAAAGTAAAACGACTTAGTCTGTTATATTAAGCCCAAGGTGACTTATCATTTATGAAATCTTTAACAGTATAGTAATCTTTCTTAAGGAGACATGTTTTTATAGACTTTAAACTTATTGAAAGGTAAATTAATTATTTCTTTTGGTATTTTATTGTAGTAACATATGCCTTCATCCACAAATGAACCAAGAACCTTTTGGAGTCTCAACGGTGGCAATGAAAGTTTATCTTTATTTCTGGTATTGAAATTATGTACATCATCGCGCCTCGTATATAAATTTATGTTCTGACTCACAAACAATATACAATTATAAATGTATTGAGAGGCAACCGTCATCATACCTATTTCTTTAAATTTATCCCTTAGAGAAGTTCGAGATCCCAAGCGATAAATAGCTCTTATAGCGCGTTTTTGAAGAATAAAAACTTTTTAAATGTCAGCGGCCGTGCCCCACAATAGAAAGCCATACGACATAATGCTGTGAAAATAGCTGAAGTATATTGTCCTAGCAGTGTCGACATCTGTAAGCCGTCTTATTTTATAGATTGCATAAGCAGCGGAACTAATGTGCTTACCACACGCACAAGCTTCACCACAGTTTGGCCTGCGCAAGCATCTCGCACGAAAAAACTGTACACTTTGTGCGTTACCACACGGCACAGTTAAGTACGCGCAAGCCTCATTCTTATCGAAATCATTGGCGTGGAAACAATGTTTCCTAATGAAGAAACATTTTTTATGCTACTATTTTTAAAGTGTTTGCTATTAAAAAAAACATGTAAAAACGATAGGATATGTACATAATATGTGTAAGTAGGTAGGTAGTAGGTATTAGGCATAGGTATTTAGTTGCAAAAATTATGTTCTTACCTCTTTCATTTTATTTGTCATTCTTTCGTAGGCGCCGTTCTTTTTATTTCGGTCGGAATAATCTTTAGATTTAATTTTCCAGAGTGCAGGCAGAGATTTGTATAAACTAATTAATTCAGACGTGAATTCGTGATTTTACGTACTCAAATCTGCCATTTTGAGTGATGATGACGAACGACCTCATGAAACGACGTACACTCGACTGTGGCTTGTACACTGAACGCCCAACCACACGCACAGACAAGTACGCGCAGGCCGGGCTTGCGCAGGCAAAATTTCAAGCAAGTCGAAAAATGCGCAGGCCGCGCTGTGGGGTGATACAGTTGTGATACAGTTTTACCAACTACACGCACCGTGTTCCGTGTACAAACCGGCCTGCGCAGGCAAAACTGTGGTGAAGCTCGTGCGTGTGGTAGGCCCATAAGTTTACCGGCTAGTGTTGTAATGTGAGGGTTCCATTGAAGTTTGTGGTCTAGTGTTACGCCTAAGAAAACGGTTGTATCGACTAAAATTAGTTTTTCACCATTTAGAATTATATCCCCCATTTCAGCATGCTTTACATTCGGCAAAGTAAATTTCACACATTTAGTTTTGCTCGCATTAAGTCTAAGATTATTAGAAGAGAACCAATGAAGTACCTTGGAAAGTGCATTGTTTACATCGTCAAAATTAGTTTTACACCTGTCAACGTTAAAAATTAGCGACGTGTCATCTGCAAACAAAACAATTACACAAAATTTTTCTACAAAGAAAGGTAAATCATTAATGTAAATTAAAATAAGAAATGGACCTAAATTTGAACCCTGAGGAACGCCTTTTTTCACATGAGATCCGGCAGATTTTGCACCGTTAATATCAACTATTTGTGTCCTTTCTGTTAAATATGATTGCACTAATTTTTGTGCGGAATCTTTTATGCGGTAATGATTTAATTTCCGTAACAAAGTTTGATGATTAACGCAAGCAAAGGCTTTAGATAAATCGCAGAAAACCCCAAGAGCATTCTGCGACTTTTCCCAAGCATTAAATATATATTTTAGCATAGTGGCACCAGCATCAGTTGTGGAACGGTTTTTAGTGAAACCGTACTGCGCTCTGTGTAAAAGTTTATTAATGTTAAAATGAGTCAACAATTATTCTAACATTATTTTTCAAAGATTTTACTCAATGCTGGTAATATAGATATTGGCCTATAGTTGCTGGGAGCTTCACAATTTCCAGACTTAAATAAAGGTATGATTTTACTGTATTTCATAAGATCAGGGAATACTGCCTGATCTATACATGAATTAAAAATATCAGCTAGGTAAGGGGCTATAGAATGTATAATATTATTTATGACTTTGACAGATATACCCCATAAATCAGATGCATTTTTCATTTTTAATGAATGGAAAACTTTAATTATTTTAAAAGAACTAACGTGCTTGAAATTAAACAATAAACCACACTTTAAATTATTTATAACTGGCGCAGCAGCCACTTTGTTCTCCTTTGGGTTGGTAATGTTTTCGTAAAATAAAAGTTTGTATTTCAAAACTTAGATTATAATAGATTTTAAAATGTAACGTCACGAAATTTAGGACCCCTCCCACCCCCTTGTCACACGATGCCACACTTCGTCGACCCCCTCCCTCCCCCTTAGCGTGTGACGTAATTTATGGATGGCATAGGCCAGCAGCCAGCTTATAGAAGCAGGCGACGCCCTTGAATATGCACTTATTTTAAGTAATGCTCTGGCATCGTTTCCTACGGTTTGTAGTATTACCTAGTCAGGTCATAAATTCGTTCACTTGTTTAATATAAAATAGGTAATTGAAACAAGTTTATTCAATAAGTAACCATTTATATACCAAAATGAACTTAACAAAACATAGACTTTTATGACGATAAAGTTTATTCAAAATGACCTCCGTGATTTTGAATACAGGCCTTCAATCTGCGCGGCCAGTCGTCTATCGCAGCACGAACAAGGTCCACGTGAATATCGGCGGCTGCCTTAATCAAGGATGTCTTGAGTGACTCCAAATTGGGATGAGGCTTTGAGCACGCCTTTTCCTTCAAGTGTTGCCATATCTTGTAATCTAACGGACTCAAATCTGGACTGGAGGAGGGCCAGTCTTCGTGCCGGATGAAGTCGATTTCACGCGCCGCCAGCCAGTCTTGTGTGCTCTTCGCTCTATGAGCTGGCGCCGAATCTTGATGAAGGGCCTGTTATTGAACATGGTATGAGAAACAGGTTCCACAAGGTTCGTCAGGACTGTATTTTGATACACAACTGCATTCGTTTTTACACCTTTTTCACAAAAATGTACCTCTGAAGAAACTCCCAACCATACCATGAGCAATGATGGAAAATGACCTCGTTGGACACGCGGAATACGGTTGCTTGCTTCTTCACACTACTGTGTGCATACACCTTATCATTTCGTTTGTTGTAGCTCTCTTCTACGGTAAAATTTTTTTCATCCGAAAAAAGAATTTCCCGATATTTTTTCCCGCGTACCGCTTCAACAAAGCGCGGCATCTCTTCAGTCTCAGGTCCATTAGACGAGCATTCAAACGATGTCTTCGATATGCCCGAAGCCCTAAGTCTTCATTTAACACCCTTTTCACCGTGGTTCTGCTTAACCCCATCTGAAGGGCCAACAGTTTCTGCTTACGTTGGGGATTTCTTTGAATTCGCGCCTTCACAGCTTTTATCACTGCTGGAGTCCTAACAGAAAGGGGGATCCGGATCTACACTAGAGTCTTCATTGTATCGTTTGATGGTACGATAAACGAATCTTTTATTTATATTCAAAACTTTCAGTATGTCAAAATTTTAATTTGGCGCGTAACCGCAACGATGCAACGCAATAACTGCAACACGGTCTTCTTTAAGCGTCCACTCCATATTTAAAAATGAGTAAAATTCTAAAAAGTATACTTTTTTATTTTCATGAACAATTCGAAATTCGAATTCAATAAACTTTTGTGTGGCCAGCATTCTAAAAGAAAAGTTTTTACTGTGTGACAATACTTATGACCTGACTATGGTGCCAATTCTGGCGTGATTCTCTAAACTTAAAACTAAATTTAATATCAGTCTCTCCTATTCATTCGGTATAGATAATGACAAGGATATTGTTCAAATTGGCCTAAATGCACAAAAAATATTATCATACACGGTAATTCTTGGCGTAATTTATAATTTAATTTACAGTCATTAGATTTCAACGGACACCTTTGTATAATATATTTATTTTAAAAAGGACTTTTAATTTTACCGGTTTGGAAAACATACGAATCATTTTTAATGGCTATGGGTGTAGTAACATTCAGCCAAAGACTGATCGAAGTGGTTTATATAACAATAAAAACAAATCTATTATGTAAAGATCGATAAAATAAATATTTTTTTTTATTACACTGTAATAATATCCACAACTAGGTATATTATCATGGTAGGCGACATCATAAAGTCTATTGCCATACATTTTTCGCCAAACACCTCCATAAACACATTTAAATCTGTATATATGTCAGACTTTAAGGTATCTATCTATGGGCCTACGTTCCCTGACTATAAATTAATATATAAATAAAATTATAAGGTGTGATACACTAAAAATCTAAAATATGGTTATCTTAAAAACATAACAAAAAATGGTTGCCTGTAAAGTCGGTTTTACGGGCGAAGATTTTACGTGACAACGTCTTTTTCTCGGTAGAATATTTATTGATATGAATATAATTAAATTGCACAATAGGAACAAGGAATTGAATGAAAATAAGAATTGCACAAATTTTAACTATAGAAATATATTTTGTTTACTAAAACATTGTACATGTAAACTTAAACTTAACACGAGAGACTCATCGTAACGTTACCGAGCGTTACACTTTTTCATAAGTGACTCCCAGCCGCAACCTTATTTAAGACGTTGTCACGTCAAAAATAATGAAGCTACTGAATATATGGCTATAGAACCTAAATCTCTTAGCTTTATTTGGTTAACGAGTTTAAAAATTGTCTCTAATCTGTGGCTCATTCACAATCATCACACAGTTTCTGTCACAGAGTACCTACCATATTATAGCCAGAAATGACACCTGATTTTAAAAGTTACTCTTATGCAAACTTTAAAAACAGGCAACTATCTGTTAATCTACATGCTCTATATATCTGAATCTAATCCATAATTTCGGTAATTGGCTTGATTTCCCTAGTTTACTATATAACTTATTTATTTTTTATTATTTTAATATGTTCAGTGTATATGGTTTATAAAAGTTCTCAGGGGTGTCCGTCAATAATATTCGTTTCTACAGTAATTTACATATAATTTCGAATCTAGGAAACAATTTTTCATGATTATTGGTCTTTAGGCCAAACATGTATGGCAATCTCCTTTAAGTTTAGGTTTATAGAATCATGCTAAAATCGACACCTATATATATGTTAAAAAAAGTGCTGGCACAACCAAAATAGCCAGTTACTTTTTGATCAAACATGAAAGAAGAATAACTGGAATGTGCACTTATTTATTATATGTAATGCTTTACCATCCTTTTCTACGGTTTGTAGTTTTAAATGTTGACATTTGGCTGGACAGATATAAAATCCTTGGACTTACTAAAATACATGAATTTAAAAAAAATACAAGATGCTTGGTGTGCTTGATGGCGGCAAAATTTAAAACTTTACTTTCTATTTTGAAATGTTTGACCTTTACTTCTTGTACATTCGATACATAAATTCAAATTCAATTATTTTTTATTATTTTTTGCAATCAGTGATGTCCATAAAACACTGTCCACGGCTACCGAAACTAACCTAAGCAACAAATACACACAAAAAAATTTTAGTTGTTTTCCTGCTCTATTTTAAGACAGCTTGTCATCTCTCAAAACAGTGAACTAAAAGTTTTGTAACAAGTATATCTGGCACTGAAAATATTTCTCGTTTTGTCGTTTCGCCTATCCAATCCAGTTTCGTTCATTTGACTTGGTAGCACTGGTTGTTTTTTGGATTGTTAGCATTTAAAAAGAAAATGTTCAGTCAGTACCTGCTATTATTTTAAAGTGAGAGTGGTGTCGTTATTTTGCTTATGTTTTATATCTATTTGGAAGTGATACTACCAAAAATTTAGATTATGCCTCTTACAATAAATTCCAAAGTAGTGAGTATTACACAATAACCTATTATTTTATAAAACTTTTAGGTTATAGATATTTTCTTATTTTACTTACTAGTTACTGATAATTGTATTATCATTCGATATATTATCACATTGATAATAATATAGTAAGTATGGGATGTTTGATTACAATTCTTATTGTAGTTCAGGCTTTTGAACAAACAGCATGAGTGAAACTGGCAGTGCGGTTGGTATTTAGTTTACAATGATTGATCATCGAGCTGAGCGTACTGTGTCGTCCGTCCCGTCAGTCACACATCACTTACTATTTCGTCAGTTATCATTATAATCCCCTGTATCACATTGTTACGTCGTGATTCTTGTATGTTTTTTGGTCATTCAGCTTTATGTTGTGTAATGATGATGATGTGTGCTTATAAGTTGTTTGTCACGATGACGATGTGATAATATTTAGGTAGTCCAGAGATAACGAGTTCATGACACTGAATAGTTTATGAAAGTCAAATCAACAGAATGCATGTGTAGATGCTGTGCAGTTTAATATTAGTTTTTTTTATAATAAACCATTTGCATTTATTTAATCTTCTCTTAGTCCAAATATCATAGAATCATGAGTGATTTAAAGTTTGTTGTAAGTGAATTCCTGGAAAAGAATCAAGTATGTATGAATATCTAAACAAAACTTAAATTATGACATGGAAATAGATACATAAGTGACATTAATTCAAACCAATGTCAGTGTGAGTTGGAATCACTTTTTGGGCAAAACGAAAAAATCCTTAATTCATCTGTTTTAAATTGTAAGAAGTTTTTAATTTTATATTATTAGTTTTATACTTTGTTAACTTTAATTGAGTTATTTAAAAAGGCAATTAAAGTAGTGGGCAATATATTTGATACTAAATTTAAAAGCTAGACATGTTACAAAACTTACCTATATTTTTATAAACCCTTTATAGAGAAATATTACAATATTAGTCCAGACAACAAGAATATAAATATGAGATATTTGATTTTGAATCTTGCCCAATTTTTACCTGATCTGCTTCAAAATTTATTGAAAATTTAATATGAACCAAATTATCCACAGTGCTAGGAGATGAAGCTTCCTAGATTAATCAACCGAGATAATTATAAATATAAAACTATTACTATATATTACTACTTACTATTCTGAAAAATAAATTACTCTCTAAAATTATGTAACAGTCTATTTTTTTTTTAACTGAAGCATTTTGTTAGATTATAAAGTAAGAGCATATCCAAATTTAATCCAGCCATTATTTTTTAAACTTAAGACTAGGAAATTCAATATGATATTGTGTTAATATATTCAACAAATAAGTTTGTGTAATTAACAATATAGGTATGCTAATAGAATTTTTTGTTCTTTAGATTTTACCAATAGTGGTGGGTGTTGGCTCAGTAATAGTATTGGTCACTGTTGTTGCAAACTGCTTATGGGGTAGGAAAAGTAAGAAACAAGTGAAGAAAACACTAGTTGACCCCAATGTTAAGTATCCATTGCCCCTAATAGAGAGAGAAGAGATCAGCCATGATACAAGAAGATTCCGCTTTGGTTTACCATCAGAGGAACACATTTTAGGTATGACTATCTACTTACTGCTTCTATTCTAAGTAATTCCAAGTAAGGGTTAACTTTTATGTATATAAACCTTCAGTATAGGACTAGAATTCATTTGGAATAAGAAATTGTATAAAAAATATTGTTTTGAACATCACACTCATGACTATATTATAATATTTTTGTGCTGCATTAAAGTTAGTTCAACATAATCAACTTGTTAATGCACTTCTATTGTTATATTTCATAGACAAAAAGACATTTGTATATAAAACAGGGACCAAATAGTTACATTATCATTGTGTAATAACAACTTTCTGCTACAGAAATCTGCTTTTGATTTTTTTTCAGGGTTGCCCATTGGTCAACATATACATTTATCAGCAAAAATAGACGATGATCTAGTCATTAGAGCATATACCCCTGTCTCAAGTGATGAAGAAAATGGTTATGTTGATTTGGTTATTAAGGTAGGTTAAAATTTCTTGTTGTGTTAATATAACATTAATACTTACATACAGTAACAGATTTGTATGACTTGTGTCAAGATAATTCTCCTTTTCACAAGGACAAGTGGTCACACAAGTAAAAGTGAAAACATTAATAGAGGATGATTATTTTTTAAGATGTACAAATAATTTACTGACACCCTATATTAAGTCATAATTTTTGCACAAACCAATTGTTGAATAGGTAGTTACTAAGTTTTTACAGTCTCTGAACATATATTTAAATTATAACAATATAGTATCTAGACACCAACCAGACATAATTTGGTTTTAAACTTCCATACAACAACACTATAGTAATTTATGTTATTAACGGTATTGCTATCATGTACCTTATTTTTTAAGATTTCACTCATACAAAACAATGGAGACTCCGTTAAAAACAAAGTACATGGTAGCAATCCCGTTAATAACATAAATTACCAACAAGACAGATGCTAATTTGGGTAATGGGCTTTTAATTTAACTGTCCATGTTCTTAGTAACAGAACACAGAAAAAGGAACATAGAACAAAGAAAGAGACAAAAAGAAACACAGAAACTGGAGAATTAATAAATTTATTTTATTCTTACAGGTATATTTCAAAAATGTTCACCCTAAATTCCCAGACGGAGGAAAGTTATCTCAATACATGAACAACATGAAACTAGGTGACACTATTGATGTACGAGGACCATCTGGAAGGCTACAGTATACTGGAAAGGGAACATTCCTCATCAAAAAGTTGAGAAAGGATCCTCCTGTTAAAGTTGTTGTTAAAAAGTTGAATATGATTGCAGGTATAAATATGCTATAACCCACTCGCTTTTACACTAATCCAATTCAATATCTCAATTAAACCTACTACGACACTAGCCATAACACAATTTAAATATTTTTCTATTCAAAATATATCATATTGAGATGTGTCTGCTAGAAAAAATATAAGGTCGTACAAAGTTGTCATCATACATATAGGTATGAAGAAATCTTTAAAAGAGTTTAAATTTTCCGACACCGAATATCAAACGAGCATAATCGCTAGTGATTTCTAACTAAAATATCACGCATCCAATATTCAAATTACTCGCTTTGATTAAGTCTCGTAATAACATAACAACAACTCACGGCTCAAAGATCGAGAAACACAAATTGGCGTGGCATTGAAAAAACCGGCTCGGACACGCCTATAACTTCCTACTTATCCACCTAGTGGTGTAGTTAATAATAATGTTTTATATGTTTACCTAATGAATTAAAGGATCAACGGTTTCTTAATGGGGAAATTTTACACTTTCATTCTCTCAAAAATTGGTCAAACAAACTTAAACGACTGCAAAGGCAGCCGTAACCGGGACCAACAGCTTAACGTACCTGCTAAAGCACGGGGGAGCTCGAAATAGTCAGTTTTTGGTCACCCATTCTATGACCAGCCATTGCGAAATTTGCTTAAATATCACGATCGCAGGCCGAACTCGGTTACCACCACGCCAGCAAACTCCTAACATTGCAATAATGTTGCGCGCCACATTTTGGCACAGAAAAGGGCGCATTTGAATTTGTCATTTGAATGCTTAAAACAGGGGGCGAATTATACCGGGTTGACACGAGGCGATTTAAATTGATCAACTTTTATCGTTCAATTGCTTTTGTTCAATTTGATTGGAAGTCTGTTCAGACGGTTCAAATCGCATGCGATTTAGCAGTTGATTAACTAAAATCGTCTCGTGTGAACCCGGTATTAGCTACCCTATTTATTCCCTATTCCCTTCAAATCCAATGCCAAGTCTGTGACATTAAAATATGATATCTCTCCCATCTATAAAAAGAAGGAGATCGCAGAAGAAGTACCTACAGGTTACGCAAGCATAGCTACAAAAATCTAGTCGCGATAAATACCATTAGCACTGATTGGATCTAATTTTTACATGAATTGGTAAAAAAGTAAGCTTTAAACTGATTTGCATTACACAGCACAAGCAAATCAATAAGCTCACTCGCACTGGATTAAAGAACAAAGTTACAATCTCGTAACTCTTTTAAATATCATATCTATTATTAGTCTCAGAAATGTATAGGAATAACTATCTAATATTGGAGGGTATATCCAATTCGAAATAAAAGTTTTCAGCTTATCCAACAAGCTAAAAATAGTAGCAAACCAAAGAATGCGCAGCACAGACATATGATTTAGCACCAACACAGATTGCGTAACACAAAAGTATCGTTATTAACATTATCAATAATTGTTTTGTCTCAGGTGGCACTGGCATCACGCCAATGCTCCAGCTGGTCAGGCACATTTGCCGCGATGCCAACGACCCCACCGAACTGAGACTGCTGTTCGCCAACCAGACGGAAGAAGACATTCTATTGAGGGACGAACTCGAGAAATATCAAAGTGATCACCCCAATCAGTTCAAGCTGTGGTACACAATCGACAGACCCGGAGAAGGTTCGTTATCCTATAATGAAAGAAGTCTATGCAATTCTTTTTTGTTCATGCGTTTTCCCGTTTTGCACCGAGATCTCGCCAGTGTCACGTGTTGAGAGAGACACGTTTATTTATTGAGACAGCATGTAGAGTAGAGAAAATAATGAAGTGTACTTTTTCTTTGAGTGCATTCCAGTTGTTAAAACCGTGCTCAAACAAATAAGATACTACAAGATGTCACAAATAATGTTAGTTTGAAACACAAATTATATAAATATTACAACTTAATATTATATTTTTCTATCGTCTAAGCAACGTGAATCATTTACCAAAACTGCAAGTTTTACCAGTTGATATTTTATATTACCGTTATGAAATGTGCCTATAATTTATTTAAAGATTTTTTTTGCTTTAGCCATTAATAAATCAACTTGGATATTATATAATAATAAGATGTTATTATCAACCGCAACTCCTGATTCTAAAATTAAGAGATGGATTAATAAAATAATAAGATATACTTATTTTGTTCTGTACTTCTTAAAAGAGTTAAGTATTAATAAATATTAAAAATCGGCCGAAAGTTTAAGAAAGTTCATGTTGCTTAGATTCTTTTGATGAGTCCCACTAATATTTTTCATTGTTTGTATGTTTTTTAACCAATCACGCAAAACTACTTAACGGATTTGAATTAAATTTGATACGCATAAAGTTTATAACCCTTATTTTTATTCTGGATTTTTTTTGGGTTCTTGTGGGTTTCTCAAAAAACTAAAATTAACGCAGATAAAGTCGCAGGCGGCCGCTAGTTCTTAATAATTACTTAAATCCATTCACACCCACTCACAGACATCTATTAACGTCAAGAAAGAAAAAACGCTCTTTAAAACACGTTAAAAGTGTTTTTATTTGACGTTTATTAACTTCTATTATAGTTTGATTGAAATCATTGCAGTCACTTTCTTTGCTAAGTATAACAAATGACATTCAATTTATTCGACGTCTCTGAGTACGACCGTAAAGAAATAGTTTATAACACCTCATATCTCTTACATATGGGTTTGGCGGAACATCAAAGATAATTAAGACAACTTTAAATGTTTACACCTGAATGACAGCACATTTGGCACTTGTTCCGTTTGAGAATCTTTTCTGAATCAACGCTTATAGATTGTTTGCATATTGACTACAACATGGTCACATATTGGTAGTCTTAGTTAAATCATAAATTGCAGAGCACTTTTATGGAAGATATCAGCTTAAGGGCTACCTGGGGGGCTTTGTTAGTGGATATTCAGCTTCTTGGACAACAGGAGCAGTAAAGTCGTTATCGATGGCTGCTGCTCCGATCCCATGATTATAAACGCTGGAGTTCCACAAGGTTCGACGTTCTTCCCAACACTTCATCTTGCATATCAATGACATACTATCAGTGACATACTATCAGTTCCCGGCATGCATTGGTATGTAGATGACAGCACATGTGACGAGTATACCGGCCACCCTAACGTTCCTAAAGCTGTAGTTTCGGAATTGGAAAATCAAAATCATTTATTCAGTCTAGGCTGCACAAGCACTTGTAAAGGTCGAGAAGCTACGCCATCAGTTCGCAAATCTACGGCGTGAGACCTTCTACTGAGAAGAACCGCCAAGAAACTCAGCGAGGAATGTTTTTTCTCCCTGTATTATTATATACAAAGCGGCTACGTTGAAAAATGACTTCAGAGATAAATTTATGGCGTCACTGAATGGCGGACTAAGCTTGTGACCGAAATGGAGGGTTCTCTTGAGCAAGTCTACCAATGGAAAAGTTAGAACCTGGTCCTCCTCCTCCTCGTCGTTCAGCCCTGGCAAGACAAAAATTTGCGCCTTCACTGCAAAGAAGGACTCATTTGCTGTCAGACCTATTATTCCAAGGAGTCCCGCTGCATAATTCCAATAGCGTTTGGATACTAGGTGTTGATGTTTCGTGTGACGTCTGACGTCCCAGTATAGAAACCATTTAGAGTGCAACGCCAAACTGGCCTTTAGCTTGGAGTTCTTAATCGGGCCAAGCAGTACTTCACATCTAAGCAAGGGTAATTTTACTTTACAAAACGCAAATAAACCCCGCATGAAGTAATGCTCACATCTCTGGACTAGAGCTCCCAAATATCAGTTGGTTCCCCACGATTCCATACAAAGACGCGCGATTCGGATTGTCGATGATCCCAAACTAGCGGAAAATCTGGTGCCTTTAGAACTGCACAGGGACTTTGGTTGCCTATGCATATTTAACAGTCTCTTTCGTGGTGAGAGCTCCGAGGAAATTTGCTAGTAAATACCCACAGCACGATTTTACCACCGCACCACCTGTCACCGAAATCGAGTTTACCCACATTACCTACCTGGAATCCTGAAGTCCACAACCGTTCATTTCCTGTTATTCCTACGACAATAAAATTATGGAATAAGCTCCCATTCACGGTGTTCCCTCAGTTCTATAAAAGGGTCCTCTTTAATGGCAGCTTAAATAGTGTACCATGAATTGGCTATGTCACTGGTGTCACTGATATCCATGGGCATAGTGACCACTAAATATTAGGTGGCCCGTCCGCTCGTCAGACTAAGAAGATAATAAAAAAACATATTTATAAAAATCATTATAATTTGTGAACTTCGTCAAGGCATGTTTATATTATTAATTTGTATATTTATATTGGTTTTATATTATTATATAGATTACTGTTTGATTATGTGGTTCTCTAGGAAAAAACTTAATTTTTGTTAAAGGTTCAGTTTTTTCCATGCTTACTACTTTGCTTCTCATCTTTGCCTGCGGCGATATTTTCTTAATATTTATTAGATAAGAATAAGGTTCATTATGAAATCACTTTTATTTACTCATATCATATAAAGTTGTTGTAAAAGAGTCATCAATTAAAATTATAATTATTTTAATCTTAATCAGATCTACCAGTCCCAGACTTCTAAGTCGTTAAGTGATATCCCATGACTGCGCATGATAAATATCAACAGATAAAATATTATGTAACATATTTAAAAAATATATAATACCTACTTCTTGATATAAGTAGGAAGGTTCAAAATTATCATTCGCATTCCAAATATGGTCCTTAGAGCCCTTAATTAAAATATCAATATTGTGTATAATAAAAGAAAAATAAAATAATTATTTGCTGACATTTTTCTCCTTCACAAGCGGTTGTAGCAGCAGCCTAGACTCTGAATAAATTAAAATCAGTTTATAGATATATATAACAAAAAGCGGAAAATTTATTGAATTTCCGCCTGTGAAAAACAACATGAAGGGCTGCACAGACCAGGGGATATTACACATTTAAGTAATCAATAAAGTAACAATCACTGTAGTAATAATAAAAATGATGTTGTTGTCAAGTATACGAAGGTTTCACAGTTTGCTTTTGTCTGTATTTATTAGCCTTTGATCAACAATTCTATAGATAACGAGTTGCATACAAAATCAAGATAACGAGTTGCATACAAAATCAAAGTTAAAAACGAACAAAGACAGTTGAAGCTCATAACAACCATGTCAGAAAGGAATAAAGTTACAAATCACAAAATGTTATTTCGTACATACGACCTTATTATCTTATAAAACGAACAAGACAAACGACTACTTAATAATATTCGGGCCAAATTTGAAGTAAATCCATGCAGTATTTTTTGAGTTTATGCCGGACATATGTACCTACATACAGACACAAATTCTATAAACTATATTTTTGGCTTCGGTATCGATAGTAGATCACACCCCAAGTATTCTTTTAAAAAATATTTAATGAAGAGTTTTCACTTTCCTACTATTTTATTATATGTATATACATTTAGGCCAGGACCGATAATTTTTGGGAACAAAAAAAAACGAACAGTATGAAACCCATTTCAAAAGAAATAGAACACACAAAAAAGGAAGAAACATAATTTACGGCCGATTTGAGGTGTCAGGAACGGTGGTGGTGACACCCCCACCACCCTAACTTTCAAGGGGGGAAATGGTTTATCACGATTTTAGGGAATACTACTACAGCTCCTATCGAAAAAAGTCAATGGAAAAATTTTAGTTAGTTTTTTAATTATTTACACTTTTTTCACATAACCTAAAAAATTCTGCGAAAAAATAAAATAAACGTCTTTTTGGTTATTTATTAGTCTCCCACAAAAACATTGAAACGAAATTTTTATTAAAAACTTACATTTCTATATCCCAAACATGTTCTAATATTTTTGATAGAAAGTTTTTTTTTTAATCCTTATTATGATACTATATCGAAAAAGAAACCTTATTTTCACATAACCTAAAAATTTCTGTGAAATATTAAAATAAACGTCTTTTTGGTTATTTATTAGTCTGCCACAAAAATATTGTAACGAATTTTTTATTGAAAACTTACCTTTCTATATCCCAAACATGTTCTAATATCTTTGATAGGAAGTTTTTGTTTTTAATCCTTATTATGATACTATATCGAAAAAGTAACCTTATATTCAATCGACAGATATCCGGTCAAAAAACTCGCTTGTTGAAAAAATGTGGTTTGCTTTTTGTTCTTTGGAACCTCTACTTTTGATAATACATAAAAATATACATTAAAATGCAACCTAAAGTGCAAATGCGTCGTCGTCGATGGTTTATCGTCATTTTTGGGAAAATTACAACTCAAATTAAAAAATTCAATGGCTAAATTGTAGGTAATTAAAAGATCTACAACTTCTGTTTTAAAGATTTTTTTTACATAACTTTAAGATTTTGACGAAAAGATCAAAATAACCGACTTTTGGTTTATTATTAAAAACTTACTAAAAAAGTGTTAGTTATTCACAAGCAGTGTGAAACATTACACACACATCAACTTTAATTTTAATAAGCAATCACATCTCAATAATAATATATTGTGGCACAATGAAACGACATAAAGCTATAACTCTGTGTATTGACTTGGGATGAAAATAATTATAAGATTAGTAGGTAGTTAAACAAAACATAAAAAATATATTATTTCTAAACCTTTGAACTTTTTATTCAATGTTTACTCACAAGTGGTCTTGTGAAACATTCTGCATACAGTAACTTTTATTTTAGTAAGCAATCACAGCTCAAGAGATCATAATCACCCAAATGAGAAACTAGTAACAGCAAGTTAACTTACTCCATTATTGATAAATGTAACAGAACTCGTCGATAAACACGTAGACCAAGCTGCAAGAAATCTTACTGCATCCATGTTAAACAATTTTAGGATCTTATCACTATTTACAGAAGATAATTGCAATATCTTACTAATTTAAGCATCAATAACCACTGTTGTCAGTATTTCCGGTTATATCCGGTTTATCTAAATGAGCCAAACATAAAACTGAATTCTTCGTTGGCATATAAAATTCATCTCCCCTTTCTCTGGCGACAATCGAGATCCATTCTGCACACGTAAACGAGTTGCTAGGAAAGCTTAAAGTAAATATTAAATGAAATTATAACAAACAAAAAAATGAAATATTAAAAACTTATTTTACAAATCACATTTACTAGAGAACCTGAAACAGACGTTGGCCTGTCACAATTACATTTTTTCGCGAATATAGCGAAGCATTATCTAGGTACACTGCACCACCATAATATAACAAACACCGGAATAATAATATATAAAATTATATGTATACATTATATGATTTAGAACATAAATTATTTAAAAAACAAGCTTTACATTACAATCGTTATAAAATGTTGTCTAACTTTTGTTTAACAGAGCAGTGGATGCATGGAGTCGTATTTTATTATTGTAGATACTACTGGTATTTTATAACGATTGTAATGTAAAGAAAACGTGTTATATTCTTAGCGGAGGTTGGAATATTGTGATTTTATTAGAAATATGACATTACTTATTAGTGTAAAGCATAAAATATAGTGCATTTTACATGTAGTTAGTGTAAGGGTAGTATTGTGTACATAAATTTTAAAATGGATTCTAACATATTTATTAAAGTGTTTGCATTTATAAGATTTGTGATACTGTTGATGTGATTTGTGAAAGATACACTATATGTAATTATTTTGTCATTTTCACAATTCGGTTTGCAAAAAAAAATGTTGGTAGTTATTTTTGCAACTTTTGAATGCAAATTGTGTCATTGAGGCGCGTGTTTACGCTGTGAACTAATTTAAAATAAGATCTCACGCCTCAAGTGAGGCTATATTTACAGAAACGGATTTTACTCGCTGACCCGCTATCCATAGTATTGTTGATCGAAGTTATTAGCACTTTTGTGAAAAATTATCTAACTGGTGGTGAAAACTTCATGAAAATCCGTAATTAGCTTTTGAGATCACCGAATATACGTACGAACAGATTTGGCGTAGGACTTTCTTTTAATAATAATAGATTCTTTTAGTATATTTTATACATCAATTTCATTGAGTAAAATTCAATGGCACTGTGTTATAATAGTCTGGTTATTGAACTGATACTAGATTAGATAAGTCGGGTGAAGATTTTTAAGAGTCAAAGCGAAATAAGGTATCTCACGTATCCATTATCAAATGGAGCGATATAATCATAATTTGCTATTTAATGTACACTCGTAAAGATTACGTTAACGTGTTCAACAACAACCCGTCCTCTGGTAAACATACGTGACAGAATGTCTGTATCTAAAATAATGGAAATGTCTTGTGCTGATTTATGATTATGCAATCCAAATTCAACATTAAATTAAAAAACTTTGTTTAATTGCTAAAGTTTTCGAACGTTTTGTCTTTAATCAATGTCAGAGCAAATCTGCGGGTTCAAATCTGCTATCTTTATGCTCCATGACGTAGTAGCTATTAATAACTTTTAACTTAATATATTGATGCAGGTTATCAAGTACAGTATAAAGTATCTATGCAAATTGTAGTTAGGCCTTTGGTAGAATTGATCATGTTATCCTGCTGGCCAAACTTATATTACTTGATACATCCAACGATTTATCCAATGATATAAATGTATCCTTTGTTAGAAACTGGTCTCAGGTTTGTATAGCTTTTCATCTTCTTGGACACATATACGTTCTGGTGTAGCGCAGGGATCTTTTCTAAGTTATCTTCCATTTTCAATAGAACATCGATTTCAACGACATCTTTGTTTTTTATAATTAGTTGTCTGATAAGTTTTGCTATGATTTCATTTCATTAAAAATTTTCGGAATCATAAGCGTTCCATATTTTCTTTACCAGTAGTAGCATATCCCGTCTCATATGTTTAATTATTCGAGCTATTTCAGTATTGCTGGTACTACGGTGGATCTCGCAGTTGTAAACAACGTTTCTACATATGAATACATTGTAATTTTAAGCATTGAACTTCAAGCTACTTGAATGCTTTAGGGCGCCTTATGATTGTACTCTGTATCGATTGGCTTTCACATTTTTGTATGACTACATCAAAGACTTGAATCAAACGACATTAAAAAAATGGGTGTGTGTACTTATGTAGGCGCGTGAGAAGTTATCCTTCTTTGGCATCGTTTAAAATTAGTTTTTAATTGCTTGCAAATAATTAATTACAATAAATTAATAAAAAGTCTGGAAAAGGACACAGTCAATAAAGTTCAGTTTTAATTTGAAAAAATAAATAAATAATCAAAATATTCAATTAAAATCGCTACTGAATATAATTTATTAGAACATATGTGATTTGCACTTGTATGAAACTCAAACACGTATTCCGAATATACAAACTAGAAACATGTGGATAAATATTATAAATATGAATACCTATAACTGTTACTTTATTACAAAAAATAAAGATGTGGTTTTTGGTTCTACTACACCAATGGTCAAGAAATGGCGCTGTAGTCTCCTGAATCGCGCTTTGGTTCCGTTGTTCCAGATTAATAAATACTTTTGATATTATAAATATGAATACCTATAACTGTTACTTTATTACAAAAAATAAAGATGTGGTTTTTGGTTCTACTACACCAATGGTCAAGAGATGGCGCTGTAGTCTCCTGAATCGCGCTTTGGTTCCGTTGTTCCAGATTAATAAATACTTTTGATAGGCCTTCACAATGCAGTCGTTAGCACCCACAAAATAGAGATTCTATTTCTATTTTGTTGATAGATTTTCTTAATGTGCGGTAACCACAAAAGTAACGCATGAAGTTGGTCGCTAAAGCGACCAACTTCATGCTGTTAAAATTTTGTGTTACAGTGATGCGCGCGCATCTTAAAATTTCACTCTCATCATTTTTTCACAACGCGCCTAAAGAAGTATAACTTCAAAAAATCTTCAAACTTAAAACGCTGTCTCACTGACATCGCACGTTCATTTAGCTTTATTATTTTGCCTGTTCTGAAACAAAAGACAGTGCTGATAACAATGTAATCCAAAGTTTCCTTTAAAAATTGGGCTAATGAGATGTAACAAGCATATATTTTTCTTGTCTACAGGATGGACGTATAGCGCAGGCTTCATCAATGACGATATGATCCGGAATCACATGTTCCCACCAGGAGAGGACGTTATTACTCTCATGTGCGGACCTCCTCCTATGATCAACTTCGCCTGCAATCCAGCCTTAGACAAACTGGGATACCAAGAGAATTTGCGCTTTGCCTATTAATATCATATATCTTAATATCAAAACACCATTTATCTTTAAATATTTTATATTTAATTTATGTGTCCAATATAACCAAAATATCCATTATTTCTAGTGTACCTAAAAAGTATTTCAAAAGTAATTTTTGTAATTTATTTTATATTGCCTGTTTTATGCATTTATAAAGCTGTTCACGTAAATTATGATATTATTCGCATTCGTATTTTGGTGTAAGATGTTTGTTAATGTGCGTTAATGAATCTAGTTTGTAAGTTTAAGTAAAAGTTCCGTTGTTCCTTTGTTACAAGTAGATAATTGTGTATTTTGAATAATAAAAAAGATATTTGTTTTTCTCATATTTCTTTGGCTCTTATATGGCATTCTTTATAATTATGCCTGTTCTATTGTGGTGACCTATTATAGGACTGATTTTGATACGTGATGTATCGATAGACATTCCCGAGAGACATCATATATGAATTCTTAAAAAAAAACGTGATTGTCGTGGAATACCCGGTTAGAACGAATTATTTGAGTTATAACAAATCAGTCTAATCACACCTTAATATAGCTCACACTACTTAGACACATGGGAAATTAATTCAATCAGAATCAAATTGTACCACCCAGTACATCGAAAACTAATCATTTCGATACAATGGTTGTGCTGCACGAACGCGTTTTTACTTCGGAAGTTTTAAAAGAAAATATGAGAAAAGTGGACGCTCTCTCAGCTGATATTCTAGATGAAGATTTCATGAGAATATTCAAGCCGATCCATATTCTTCAAACAATACTGGGGTTTCAACGTGTGAATATAAAACATGGATTCGTGACGACTTCTTCAAAATTGTATAAGTGTTACAGTTGCACGTTGTGGATTATGAGTGTTGCATGCGTCGTTTTTACTTCACTGCAATGCGACACCAGATCTAGTTCAAGCGACTCGAATTTTCAACTGCAATGGGGATTGCTTATAGACGGCTCCTTGAACATGGTGATAGCTTGGCGAAATAGTTTCTGTGACGCTACTCTAAATAGCCAACTTTATGTGAAACTACAAAAAATCGACCGAGAACAGAGTATGAGCAACACAAAACAACTGAATGATAAACTCTTTAAGTTATCACTAGTCCTTGTTTTGGTTAGTTCAATGTTCAATATCATATTGACAATGTACTACGCTGTTATACTGCAGAATGGTACGTGTGCCACTGCCTATATTGCAATGCTTAGCCTTATATCCAACTGTACGGAGATGGTTTTAGTATTGTTAATGTTAATTTTCGTTATATTACGAGTAAACCATATTAATCGTTTCCTTCAAAGTAAATTAGTGAAGGCATCTGATACTGATATAGTGAAGGATAACAAAAACTCGCCAGAGCTTACCCAAAACGGGAAATTGCATTTGATCGTGTGCAGCGTTCATTGCGTGCTTGATTGTTTAGATACTATTATGACCCTTTTCCGTTTTGCGGTGAGTAGCCTTAAAAGTTTAACGATGTAATAACGCTGACGTTGGTAAATAATCATTACATTATTGTAATAACTATATATTTCAGATCATTGTTTTCATTGTCCAAACTTATATTTGGATTTTGGCTTTTATTCAGAGCATGATATTCGCTGTGAAACAAGAGGTAGGTACAAAACTAATGACTTAAGTATTTATCTAAATTAATGCATTTTAGGGTATTAGACCACGGGACCTTTTGAGCCTAGCAGGCTTTTATTCAATATTCATGTTTGTTAAACACATCAATGCCCAAAGCGTAACTATTTATTCAGAACGAATCACTTGATCGACTTGTGATTTCCGAATCTGGGTTAAAATATCTTTTAGTTTTTCTAAATAGTAGCAGCGTTCTAGGCAGCAGACAGGACTCGAATCTGCTATCCGGGCGGATGCACTTAGTACTAACCATTATGCTACCGCCGCCCTAATTGTCCGTGTCGAATTATTTCTAGCATTTCTCAGGCTGCAAGGCAGCGCCATCTCTTCGCATTGAAGGTAACCCACAATGTCAAATGAATACCTTTACAAGCATTAAACATTTGAAAGAAGAGTTATATATCTTTTTTAAGCATTTAACTGCTAGATTCTTACCCACATCTTAAGTCATTGCCTCTGCCCGGATAGCGGAGGGTACGGGTTCGAGGGTCTGGATGCAATTTTGTCTAGTAAAATTTTCTTTAAATTAAAACTTCTAGCAGTTAAATGCTTAAAAGATTTAACTATAATGCAATATTATGACATGGAGCTCATCTGACGATGAGGTTGCTTCGTTTTATTACAGATAGGAACTCTGTAAAGAAACGATGCAACCCCATTGAGTTTGGACTCGTTTCATTCGTCTTGACAAATAGTTTGTCTCGAGATGATGTCCAACGTCTGATGAGGAAACTGAAATGTAGCCATAAGAAATGAAAAGAACTTTGGTCCTAGATAATATCCATATTACTCCATCAGATTAGTTAAAATAAGTTTGTTCTATTTGTTATGAATTTTAATTCAATTAGATTATAAAAGCTCGTTTTTGAAAACTATTTTTAAAATATAATTATTTTCCTTTCCCCATCAAGCCCCCCAACTCTTCTTCAAAGCTTGCTCGTTCTTTTCGCTACCTTTCTTCGCTCGTTTTGACATAGACAAACGAAAACTCACAAAACTTTCCATCTTTGCTTATTTTGTCAAGTAAAAAAAAAACAATGAAGATACCTCCGTTTTTTCTAATAAGGATAAGAAGGTGCCAATAACATCGATTACGAGGCTAAAAAATACAAATTTTGGCACTAAAATCAGTGTTGGCACGTACTTATTACCTGTGGCAGTAGCTACAATATTTCGAATTATAAGTATTAATAATACCTATACTGATAAAACTTGAAAATACTGTGTAACGTAATTTAAAAAAAAGTAACGACATATTTGTTTCAGATGTCAGTTAATGTATACATAATGAGCTTTTCTTTGCCTATATCTATATGGCTATGTATAACCATAGTTGTGCTATCGTATACCGCTGGCAACTTATCACTCCAACTGAAATCTACTAAGAAAATTTGTTTCAATATAAAATCAACATTGAATGGTGGTGAGAACTTTTATTACCTATAATATAAAAATTAGCTAGTTGTGGCTGCAGTCGTGTATCACTCACACGCAATAGGCGCGCGGTATGGATGTTGTTCGCTGTTCTCCCCATTAAGGCGCTTTGTAGACGACGCGCGCGCCGTCTGCAAAGCGCCTTAGTTCACAGGGAGGATCCGTGACCTAACAGTGGAGATTTATAGTGTAAAGGTATGAACTCAGTTGGGATTACCTAGTAAAGTAGTAAATTCATTCGAGTTTAGACGTGGACTAAGCAGAAATGGTCAGACAAGCAAGTCAAATGAGTGGACTAAGGGCTTCAGTTGCTTTAAGCTGGGGATACACATGCCCGTAGTTTGCACACTAGCATACCAGCTCCTTGCACCTGCCAGCTTACCGAGCTCGCCGACTCGTTGTGGCCGTAGGCGTACGTTTTTTGTTTTGATCTCGAAGGTCAAGTTTTTCTTTTGTTGGTTTTTGTATTCAACATGGCACGATGGCTGGGGAGATGAGAGAACTATACAGTTCGTTACTACTGGCTCCATAATCTTCCCTTCTACTAATCCAAGCTCTTACCCAAACCGTTCGTTTCTTCGTTTCTTCTTTTTATCTCTCAATAATTTAGCTACACATTCAATTGCTAGTAACGACACGATTTTGTTTAATTCACTTCGGCTGCAACGTTACACTTTGAATCACGATCTAACAAAAAATATTAAATCAAATGCCCAATAAGAACAGACTGTTAATGTGCTTGATTTATTTAAAGTATATTTTCTATGTTAACAGTAGGTAGCTAAATAACATTTTACTCGACGCCGCGCCGGCGACAAACACTTTTGATTTTTTTTAATATCTAAAACTGAAAATTTTGTGCAATGCATATGCACAACTATAAACTTCAATTTCTTTTCAGTAACCTAAAGCCATTTAATACGATATCGTCCTGGGAGATTTATTTTAAAAAATTGATTGCATATTACGATATCATTCGATGACAGCCATTATTGTATAAAAAACGAATGAGTTACTGATCAATACAACCGAGTTACCCAAAATATGAATTTAATTAATCCGATTACTTTATAAACAAAGTTTCGTAGGCATACTTCAGCCAATTTAAAATAGCAAAATAACGTATTTTTCCCATTAATTTAATATTGGTGTTAAGGGAGAATGTAGTTTAAGGGAGATTAACTTTTAGGCATTAAAAGGTAGAATGACCCAAATACATATATTTTATAGAGGACATCCATGATATGAAATAATGGGTGAATATAAAGTCTTGTATGCAACTGTTTATAATTAATACACTTGCTAAACTTTGGTAATTAAAACACTCATGTTCATTAATACCTACCCATCGCGGTAATCGCTCATCATGGCCAGTGGTGTAGAGGAGCCAATTTGTGCTTACTTTGTAAACAGGTCTAAAAGTTCAAATATGGTTATTGCTTTCAATTTATACAAATGAACACTTGATGACCTTATAAATACGTATTGCAATCAATTTCTTATCATAATGGATGATCAGTCCCTTCAAAATAATTGCTTAAATGCTCAAGCTCATTAGTTTGCTTCCACATGGGCGCATTTTACATTTACCCATTAACCTAAACGCTCGCATGTACTCTAAATTATATTCGTCAATCACATAAATATTGTTATAAAAGAAATTGCTTGTGTAAACTGAAATTTGATTAAAACAAGTCGTAAAATCTGTGATTTCTTATACGTCATAAAAATTACTACAAGTGTTTACCTTCTACCTTGACGACCTCCGTAGCCGAGTGGTTTTGTACGCCGGGTTTCATGGTGTCGCCGACTCGAGAGGTCCCGGGTTCGAATCCTGGTGGGGGCAGATGTTTGTGTGATGATTACGTGCATTTGTACTCCAGTCATGGATGTTTAATATGTATTTCTATATAAATATACTTATATAAGTACAGTATATGTATTCTATCCGTTACCCTAGTATCCCATAACACAAGCCTTATAGTATGTAATTGTGCTACCGATACTTATGACAATAAAGTTTATTAATATATACAGGAACAATGAACCTTAAAAATATCAGGTCTAGGGTCTAGGGACACCGAATGGGACAAAATAATATTCGGAGCCTCCGAATATTATTTTGTCCCATTCGGTGTCGAGACCCTTGGTCCGTGGGGTCCTAGCGCTATGAGGTTTTTTAAGGAAATATCAAAAAGGTTAGTCGACATCACTGGAGACCGAAGAGCTGGCAGCTACCTCGGACAACGAATTAGTCTAGCTATTCAAAGGGGGAACGCTGCCAGTTTCTTCGGAACCTTGCCTAAAGGGACTCCTTTTAGTAATATATTTTAGTTATTATATTATATTTTTTAAGGTTTTTAGTTTAAGGTTCATTGTTCCTGTATATATTAGCTTTATAGTGCATACTTTGGGGCTAGGCTAATTTGTGTGTGTGTTGGAAATATTTATTATTTATTTCTCTGATGTATACCAATTTTATGCTATTGAATATTAGATTAAAGGAATAATTATTGTTATTTTCTGTATACTTAATACCTACTGATGAGATTTTTTTTAAATCTTCTAAAGTTGATCAATATAGCTTATTCATATTCCATTTTCTTTTCAAAATGTTTGTGGCTATAGCTAATAGCTAAGATATGGAATGGGAGAGGGACAGTCTTTTTTTCATAAATCATCTTAAATATTTTTTAAACTAATCATTTTACATTTGTGAAAAACAAATTTTTAAAACCTTCATAATGAGCGCTTTCGTTAGATTTACCCTATTAGGGTTAAGTTTTTGCCGATTGAGGTACTAAAAAGATTCACCCTAAAAAGAGTGAAGAGTTTAACAGATCACTAATAGGTGGCGTTATATGTACCTCTTCTTCCTTATTTATTGCTGATAAAGGTTCTGGTTTCTGCTTTTGAATTAAAGACTTACACTAAACTATCTTAAAATATAATGAATAACTTCAGATAAATAACACTATATTGTTTTAAACTTTCATATTCACTAACATTGTACCTAGTCTAGCCAAAAGTTCTGTTACAAATGAAAATGCATTTTTTTGCAATGAAGTGTTGTAATATTATTAAAAATTTTACCTCAGATTCATACTCAGTCTCAGCAAAAAATAAAAACATGTTCTATTCGAAATAGCCACCTGTGGCTTTCATATAGGCCTTCAATCTGTTTGGCCACGAATCTATGGATTTACGCACTTATTCCAAGGGAATTTTCACCACTGCTTGCTTCAAAGATTTTTTAAGACACTCAATGTCGACTTGTCGTTCAGAGCAGGCCATGTCCTCTCAAACTGACCATAATTTGAAGTCTAAAAGGTGAGTTCTGGGCTAGGTGAGGGCCAGTCTCGCCCGGTCCACTCGTTGGGCCGGGCCAGCCCTAGGACGCTCTGGTG